CGCGAGTGGGGCTGTAGTTATCTATTAGAATGGGTTGAAAGTATGATGCATGTATACAAGAAGGGGACGTACGAGCATGCTGCCGCAGCGTGAAAGTCTGTAAAGCGAACACCCTCTTGAGCCAGACGGTTGAGGTTGGGAGTGCGAATCTCTCCTCCAAAGCAACCAATGTCAGAGAAGCCCAGATCGTCGGCGACGACTACGAGGAAGTTGGGGCGTTTCGGAGCCATGATGTACGATATGGACAAGAGACTAAGATGCAAGACTCACAGCTGATTAGAGGCGACAAGACAGGGGGTATTGGGGTATTTAAGTAGCATCTACCCCGTACTGCCCATCGGCTCTCGGCTGAGGCACGCGGCCTCGCCATTAAGCGCAACCAGAAACCAGAATTGATGGCGGGAGAGTATCAGATGGAGAGGGGCATCACCATCCGATTGGCAAACCGCGTGAGGAGACGGTCAACCCGCAGTCAATCCGCATGTTGGAGCCAATGAGCGGATCACGTCATGATCCCCGCTTCTCACGCACTCGGCTGTCGGCTGCCTTGCCTTATACGATCCTGGTCGGATGATCACTAAGTTGCTGTCTACTCAAGAAGTAGAGTGGCAACTGACCGGAAAAGTTTTGGGATAGAGGCAAGTTGCCCGTTTTTGAGGGTTTTGCACCGCTGGTTCACGATTACTTAGCAGTGGCGGAAGAAGCACCCGCCGTAACGGTGGTTGTATATACCCTCACGGCCATCTATACTCCCGACCCGTAATCAATCAATGCTTATCGGCTATTATCTTAGCAACGGTGGTCTACGATATAGGTAGTCTTAACAGATACTGGGGAATGCATAGTATCATACTATGATGTGGTCTACTCATCCCATACCACACTACTCAACCCCGTCGATGTTCCAACCACTCCTGGTTCGCCGATCTGCACATTCGCCACCTCATCCCCCAGCTTTCCAGTCTGCGGGTCCCGCGTTACAATTGCAACATTCGACGACGATTGATCGCCAATCGCAACCAAATCTCCCGCCTTGTTGATCACAAACGTCCGGGGCACCTTGCCGTAGGATGATGTGAGCTCGTCCAAGGTGACCGTGTTATTTGAGGAATGGTCCAGATTCGCCATTGAGTCGTTGGGGGCGAAGCCTTGATCGCTCCGGATCGACACATACAACGAGTTGCCCGCTTGGCGGATTTCCGATGGCGTAGCCCCGTCCGGTAGCTGGCCGTCGGTGTATGGCTCGAACGACTGAAACTCGTCAAAGCTGAGACAGCCGTCGGATGTGTAGGAGACCGTAAACCCTTTGAAGTGTCCGTCCAGCTCATCGACGATATACAGGATCTGACTGTCTTGCTGCCGGGTCTTTAGTTGTCTGGTGAGTGTAGAGTGCTCTGTCTGCCAGAACAGGCCATGTCGGGGTCCACTGCCCTCTGGATAAGTCAGATCAGGGCAGGCCCCGTCCAACTCACCAGTAGACTTGTCGATGGCGTACACACGGACGAGATCCGCTCCCAGATCCGGCACGAGTATAAAGGATCCAGTCGGGTCCAAGAGAACTTGGTGAGGATGAGGGGCACTCTGCTGCGGGTTCTGTTTGGTTTCTGAGAGGGTGTAGCGGAAAACCTGGAGGTTCTCATCCCCATCATTCAAAGGGAGACGGAATGTGGACATCGCGGAGCCACCACTGCAAACATTAGACCATAATCATCAAGCCTAGGAAGACACATACTAGTGAGCGATGGCTAGATATTGAGCACCGTCATCACCGTTATAAAAGATACTGTTCACCCCGCCCCCCGGTGCCGCAGCAGTGGCTATCTCCGTAAGGGTGCCGTCCTGGTCGGCCGCCAGAGTGGTCAGAGATCCATTGGTGGACGCATCACCAGACTCATCGGAGCAGTAAAGAATGCGCGAGGCCGAGTCGAAGGTAAGCCAGCTGGGCATCGAGCCACAAGTCTTGAGCGAGGAGGCGATGGACAGGGAGTAGGTGCCGTCGCTGTCCTGAAGGGAGAGGCTGTAGACGGACCCGTCATAGTGGGTAGCGTAGAGGTTGGTTGCTGTCGCCAGAGACAGACATGTTGCCAGCCAACTGAGAGTAAGTTGTCGACCCATGTTGATTTTAGGTGGTCTGATGCATCGAGGGATGATGAGGTCAATAAATACCCACCGCACGGGGCCAGGAATGGATCTGCATTCTGCGGGTGAAATATTCCAGGGACGGTAGGAGCGCTGCAGCTGCATGTCTACTGTCAGTAATGTAGAGAAACTCTGTAGCCGAGGGTAGAAGCCTCTGTACTGGAGTACAGCTTCTCCTCCCTGTCTCAGTCTAGCCAGCCATTTTGTTTAGTTCACCAATCATTATGGACAAACTGATGGAATCCCTTGCTTTGCTTTAAGACCATCTGAACATAAATGCGCTTGTAGCTGCTGAAGTAAGTCGTTCCATACAATGCTAGCATACCATGACCTAACCAAGGCGAGAGGAGTAAAGAAAGTCAAGAGACATCGCTTGCATACACCTTCCTGATCAGGGCATCTAATCAGGCCTATCGCAGAACCAAACAGTGCAAACACTTGAACCCTGGATAATGCATATATTACTAAGCATACGTACCGGAAATCCGGAGATATCACGTGGCGATGTTCTCCGCGGTTCCTGGTATGTGGCTTACAAGCCAACATCGCCAGTAACCCTCTCACTATACTGAGACTACACTCCAGCATGGGCTGGGTCGGAGTCGCCACACTCATTGCAACAGCATGCTTTTTGCTGTACCGCTACCCCCCCGGAACCTGGGCTCCTGAGCCCCCGGCATCCAAACCACTCCCGAAGCCCGTCAACCCCCCTGCGGCTCGCGCGACAGAGAAAACACCAGTCAACGGCGAAGCGAAGCCCCCTAACGATGAAGATGATGCTGCGAGCGACACCCAGAACACTCCCAAGGCAGTCCCATCCAGCGCACCTGCGGTGGATGTACCTTCTTTCCGACTCGACGACAGCGCCGATCAATCCCGCCCCTCGGTACCGCAAATCCAGACCAGCGCTCAAACTCAAACCACGATGAAACCACCCTCTCAACCCCTAACACAGACGAAGATGGCAGACAGCACTCTTATGCCTCCCCCGCCCCCACCACAGCAATCGATCCCCGCAAAGAGCTCCTCCCTTATGCCTCCTCCGGCCCCGCCGCGTCTCCGTCCGATCGCATCGCAGACTACTTCTGCGCCCTCCCTCGCACCGGGGCGATATCCCCCACGCCCGAATAATACCACGAGCTCGAGTTCATTGCGCCCACCACCCTCCGCTGCTGCTTCCCTGCGCGCCCCGCCGAGCAGCGGCCTCTCGAGCAGCACGCTCGCCCCGACGAAGGTGACCAAACCATCTAGCTCTTCGAAACGAGCGGTTCTCGAACCAGGATACTCGCCGTTAGATTGGGCGGCCTTGACATCCAACCCGAACAACAAGTTGCGGGGAGAGAACCTCCCTCCGACACTGATCCGAGTAACGCCTTCGATGCTGAAAGCACAGAATGGCCGCAAGGGCATGGACGCTTGGACATCATACCAGGGGAAAGTCTACAACATTACACCGTACCTCCCCTTTCACCCCGGCGGCCGGGGAGAACTTCTCCGCGGCGCGGGCAAAGACTCAGGGAAATTATTCTTCGAGATCCACCCCTGGGTGAACTGGGACGCTATACTGGGAGAATGTCTCGTGGGGATACTGGTTTCCGAGAACGACGAGTCGGATAATAAGCTAGATGCGATGGATTAATCCCTGTATACATAGACTCATGCTGTTGATCCGTGTACCTATTCTACACTTTAGAAGATGATACCCTAGAAACGATACAAATAGAACAGAATCATATCGTTATACCCCACAATCCCATAATAAGAAAGAAGATAAGATTACAACTCATCTTTCTTTACCCCCTGAATACCCACCAATTCCGTCTCAAAGATCAACGTCGCACCGCCAGGAATCGGTCCAATGCCCCGGTCACCGTATCCCAGCTCAGGCGGAATCGTCAACGTGCGCTTCTCTCCAATGCACATGTCCTGGAGACCTTGGTCCCATCTACACAGAAACAAGCAGCCAATTAGCCTAATTCCTTTCCCTATATACTCAATAGAACAGATAATGGAAAGATGGTGAATACATACCCCTTAATAACTCTCCCAGCCCCCAACTTAAACTTCAACGGAGTGCCGCGGTTATAACTAGCATCGAACTCGGATCCGTCCGACGCGAGCTTGCCCCGGTAGTGCATGGACACTGTATCTCCGATTCGGGTCTTGCGGTTGCATTCGACCGAGTGGGTGACTTCGATTCCGAGGTCGGCGGCGGAGGCGAGGGTGGTGAGGGAGAGGGTGAGGAGGGTGGCGAGGGTTGGGAGGCGCATTTTGGTGGTGGTGTTATATATCTGAATTGATGGATGGGGTGGTTTGTTGGAGGGGTGGGAGTTGTAGATTGGGAGGAGTAATTGAATTGAGGAGATGCGGATACGTATACTTAAGTAGGCGGGAGCGGAGGAGATGCGGAGGTGGTTTGGTGGTAGTTAAGTTAGTGGTTGCCGGGCGGTTAGATAAGTAGGTAGGTTTGGTTAGATTAGCTGGGAAGGGTTGCTAGGGGTATGCCGAGTTCATGTTGGTGTGGAAGAAGATGCTAACTATGTTTTTTACTTTTATGGATCAATGTGATTGATTAATCTAACTAGCAAAAAAGAAGATATGCTGATTGTAAAAGAGGTGACGCGCTAGGAAGAAGAAAAACAAAAAAACAAAAAAGTGACTAGACTGGGGCTCGATCCCAGGACCTTATGCGTGTGAAGCATACGTGATAACCAACTACACCATCCAGCCAACTTGTTGTGATAGTTTTCTAGCAGTACTGAACTATGAATGAATAAACATGCCGCTGGCCTAAAGGATTAATTTCATTCTCTTCACCATTGCGTACTTTCCATCTACATTCCACAATAACATGTTTCAGATGGGATGGTTTGTGAAGACTGTCATCATATATTGTCATAAATGGTATCTATATGTACAAAGAAGAAATTTATCTAATATTTTTAAGCCCATTTACCCAGCAGGGCCATCAATAGAGCACCGAGACATAGTAGACCGAAAGCCGCCAGAACGATCTGGATCGGTGCCTTTCGCATCGACGTGCTGAACATGAACTCATGGGCCAGTAGCTCCACCAGGGCCGTGTAAATGAGAATGCCGGCCGAAATTGAGTCAAAGACACCGCTGACGATCAACGTCGTGGCGCCATCAGACGCATAAGAGTCGCGCACGCCTAGACCGATCGCAATGGCAATAGGCGTGGAGATACCGTAGCCAAGTCCAAGGAAATAGGGGGTCCATCGCTTGGAGTGTGGCCAAGGAACAGTAGCTAACCGAGATCCCAGACCCAGGCCTTCAAAGGTTTGGTGGAAGACAAGGACAACGTAGAGTGTCACAAATTCGGAGCCGGTGACCGCCAGGGTCAACCCAATGAAAACGGAGTGGAAGATGATTCCGAACTCCAAAATGAAGATGGAGGTCAATTGAGCCACGTACTCCTCTAGATCGGAGTGCTGCTTTCCGAGCTCGATATCATGGTGTTCGCGGGAATGACCGAGATGGTCCTCCCCCGGCATATGGGTCTTCATGTCAACCGACTCAGCAGGGGAGGAGGTAGTAGTATGCTCGATTTTCTCATGATGATGATCATCCTCGTCGTGAGAATGGCCGTGGCCGAATCGAGCAAAGCGCATGACCATTAGCTCCACGAAGAACAGTACCACAATGGTCATTAGCACGATGCCCTCGACCCAAGAGTATTCTGTGATTGGGCCGGTAAGGCAGTCGTCGGTCAAGGCCTCTTCTGCAGGGGCAAGCAGGTGAATAAATGCGGTGGCAATGATGACACCGGAGCCAAAGTATTTGGCGATGAAGAAGGCGCACTTTGCAATCTTGGAGTCCTTGAAACTCCGGGCCATGACGGGAAAGAGAGCCCCGCATGTTGAACCGATGAGAATGACAAAGATAGACGAGATACGCAGGCCCATACGGCCATCATATCCGTTGCCCGTCTCACAAGCAGGTGTTGCATCTCTGGCAACTAGACTTTGAAGAGAGTCCATCTTCCACCGTTGCTTGTATGCGACCGGCGGTCCTCTGCAGACCGTCTGGACCAGCTTAGAATAGCACGGGCCCGCCCGAAGAAGGTAGGGATGATCGAAACAACGTCTGACAGGTATCCGGTCCAATGGCGTGCAGGATCGTGTGACAGGAGGATAGCGGAAGTGTAGGCACGTGGAAGAAGAATGTCAACTGCAGTGATCGGTTGAGATTGCTGGAGGTTCGTCTGCAAGGTCCCCCGGCTCTTAAATTGGTTTCTCAAATGTGCGCCAAGTTGTCAGTGTGAGAGTTGGGCGTCCCCAAGGTCCCTAAGGCTGGTCCACGTCAAAGGGTCCGGCGATGAACGGCGTTGAACCGGTGCTGAGGACCTTGGTGGCACTGGTGAGGGGTTGCACAAACGCGATCGCTGAGGCGTCGATTTCGATTTGAGTTAGACAAGGAACGATCTCAGCACTTGCCAGCGCGCAGCTCACCTGGACACAAGTGAGAAGTTCAATTGAGCAACACAACACAAAGCAAGAACAGGGGGTGAATGCAGAGGCGTCTCCATGATGGCGGGCGACGGAGACTTCCAGTCCGTTCTGGGTAAAGTGCGAAGTTGCATCAGATGGGGACCTTGGGGGAAAGCGGCGGGTTCACCTCAAGAGTTTTCGCTCAAAAGTGAGGACCTTGTGGACGAGGTCTTTCTTTTACTGGTCTCTGATTGGCTCCGATGAACTATAGCGGGGAATTTTGACGCAATGGTTAGCGGCCCGGAACCTTGTTGATCCGATAATGCTCATTTCCTACAACCCGATTGGTTATTTTGGAGCGGTCAGAAGGGCGGAGGCATCATATCTTGGCAGAAACAAAAGTGGGATGAACACCTGCTCGATTAGGTAATGGTTATGCCTTGAGTATCCATGCTGCAGTATCCATGCTGCAAACACAGGCCATACTATTGAGTAGTCTCCTATCACCAATAAGCTGAAGCATAATTAAATTTTAGCGCACTGATACGCCAAGGCATGCAATGACAGTCATGATCCGGCAGACACATGAGTGACCGAGATGTCAGCATCAACCAAACCCCGTGCGCGTTAAGGGAGTGCCAAGTCTAAGGGATGAGTACTAAGTATTTCCAAGGAGGCTGCCATGCATCATGTCTATTGGAGCGGGAGCCACTGTTTCTGGCTTTCAGGGTCCCAGGTATCCCACTAGTGCGGGGATATAGTCAGGAATGGGGCGTCCAGATAACCTTGATGTGAAGCATCGTGTGACCTTGCATCGAAGCTCCACTCAGCCACTCAAATTGGGCAGTGTACTTAGCAGGCTCGACTGCCTTTTCTACAGAGTTCACGCCTCGTGGCATTATGCTTACACACGGAAACCATCGCTAATCCAACGCTAACAATGGATCCAAGTTAGACGGAATATATCTCCTCTCATCGAGTCATGGCATACTTCAGTGACAGACAAAATTCCAGCAAGGCGACTAGTTCGGAAACACTCTTCCTATCAGAACAGAAGATTTAAGTAATAAGTAATAAATGATAGATGATCATTAATAATACGGTACCTAATGATACTATTCAAGGATGCCAATCCGGATCGCGATTGTTGTCACTCTCATCATCCTCTTTCTCTTCTTCTTCTTCTTCTTCTTCTTCTTCTTCTTCTTCTTCTTCTTCTTCTTCCTCTTCTTCTTCTTCCTCTTCTTCGGCTTCGTCCTCCTCGGCCTCGGCCTCGTCCCCGTTACCCCCTTGTCCCCCCTGCCCCCAATTATCGGCAACTGGTTGCCATTGACCACCCGTCCTCGCGTAGACGACCCTTGCCCCCCTAGTGACCAGATGTCGTGGGCAATAATTGCCCACAGGCTGTCGCTGCCTTGGGCCCAATCTGGTGCACCTCACGTTGGTGCCGAGTTGTGGGGGGCATTGCTTGAAGGGGCCGGGGGTTGTGCATCCACACGAGTAGACGAGAATTTGATAGAAGCACCTTGATCATACTAATAAGATTATGTGAGGTGGTATGATTTGATTACTCTACTTACATTATGGAAGAGAGTAGAATGTGGGAGATTATTTCAACTGTGCTGTCTATTGGACTATGGTATGCTCAAACCTAAAAAACATCTTTGCTATGAAATGCAAGCCGTGATGCACCTTCCTCATTTGGCTGCTCACTTACATCGTGGTTTCCTGATTTAGCATACTTCCGTCGTCCAACTTCTGCGTCGGAAGCACTTTGGGTATCGCCTCCACGGACGTCATGAGTATATCCGTGGCTGCCATGAAGGTATTACTTGCTGTTTTAAAAGTGCACATTCGTTGTTCTACTAGCCAATTGATTGGGAAGTACTACTCTCAGCCTGATGAGACACATCTACGCTTCATGACATCAGCTCAAATGAAACAAGCCAAGGTTTCGGACAAGCCAATCCGATCTTCCCCTTATTCCATAACCATCGCTATCATGACATCTTCGCCGAACCGGACATTCTTAATTAGCCCATATACAGTGCCATTCTGGCGGTAGCTTCAGGTCTCTGGAGAACTCACTCTGGAAACATGAAAGCTATAAATCGTTCCTTCTACCACACAATCGACGCTAAGTCCTATCATGACAGGCCCAGCTGTCTCGTCTGCGGCTTTGTCTTTGCGAACGGGACCAGCGAGGACGATCATTACAGTTACGTGGATACGAGATACTATGTAGGAAGTAACCTCTGTCGCGCTCAGCTTCTAGAGGATTGGAGACCTTCTGAGAAGAAAAGATGGTGCAAGAAAACATGGTGGAACACTTCCCGCGCAGGTCAGCCACCCTGGTACACTAGATACCCTCAGCTGTTGACTGATTGGTCCAGTTCTATACCGCCCTGCAACAGGCACCTGTCGACTTTCTGGGGTCATCATGCATCCTCTGACAACCGGATTGGTTCCAATGAATGAGACAGATGGTTATATTTGCGGTAGTTGGGAGGGCTGGTTATCCCCCAAAGAACGACAAGTTTTCGTACGTCCGGACATTCTATGCCCAACCCAGGAGCCGGAGCCCGACGTTGAGTGGGTGGCTTACTTTGTTCACTCTCGCTGCTGGGAGCTACTTACTCACCACGACTTGGGGACGATTGCGGAGAAGGACCTGGGCATAGTTCTCGACGCTCTCCGAGACAGACATAAGACTCTCCGAGGCAGACGTAAGAAAACCGGTCACCAACCTAGATCCTGGTATTGGATGTTGTGTCGGGAAGGTTAGGGTCCCCCCAGGTCCGACATTCAATGACGCTGACCTTGAATCTCTACCAGATCCTGTTCGTACAAAATGCGTTACAGGAGCCATTTGTCTAGCACTAAAATACGAAAAGCGAAGGAAATTGATGATGAAACGAAAGGGCCATTTGGTCACCCGAAAGGCACCACGTCCCAGACCCTGCGTTCTTCCGATGGAAATACTTTATATGATTCTTAGATATCTTCCATATCAGACGATTGCGAACGTGGAAAAAGGATTGCGCCTCAATCTTGGTAATAGATTTTGGCGCACTTGGCTCTCTAGCCGAATATTCTACGAAGTGAGTGATATTGCCATCGACGAGGTTAATTGGAAGCGCCTATCCATGTTGCTGGAACGACGACTCAAGAAGTCAAACGCTTTGGCCATCCGACGGTTTTTATTAGCCTCTCTGGATAATGTTATGAGGTTTGTTGAAATGTAACTTGATGGGAAGGCCATCTATTACGAGTTTGAATAATGAATAATAATAAATAATGCGTCTGATAATACTATTCAAGGATGGAAGTCTGGGTCGCTCTTATTGTTATTCTCATCTTCATCTTCATCATCTTTGTTTCCATCATCTACTTCGCTTTTTTTTCTTCTTTCTCTCACCCTTATCATCTTCTTCTTTGGCTTCATCCTCCTCGGCCTCGCTCCCGTCCCCTCCATGGTGCAGGGCCAGACCTGCGAGACGATCGAGTCCATTATCAGTTCGGCGATAGCGGTGAGATCATGAGCGTCGGTGTGGAGAGGGCCATCTAATCCGTGGCTTTTCATGTCTGCTTCGAACCAGTCTTAGGGGTGGAGGGCCTCTGCCTATCCATGGTCATCATTAGAGCAGTTCCGTCGTGTATGAGAGGTTGCTGGAGAGACGATAAGTTAAACAACTCGAAAACCCCATGTCGCAGTAAGCTCACAGCCTGTCGGCTTTTGAAAAGCCCAAGCCAAATCAATTGGCGAGTAAGGCAACGAATGTGCAATAACAGAAACAGAAATTGATACCTCCGTGACGTCCGCGGAGGCGATGCCCAGAATGCTTCCAACAAAGAGGCCGGACGACGGAAGGGTGCCAAATCTGAAAAGCACGATGTATGAAGTGAGGAGCCAATTGAGAAAGGTGCAATAAGGCTCGCATTTTCTGTAGAACTGAGCGTACCGTAACTAAATACTAGGTAGCACAATCGGAATAAGCTATCTCTCAACATACACTCTTGAAATATAAGTGGAGCAATAGATTCATAACACCATATACTGTTATCTGTTGAGTCATTCACTCCAGCCAGGGTCAGCTGATCCTTTGCTTCTTTTTCCCGCGTGGTCTTCCAGCACCTTTTCCAACCACCAACCATCTTGGGATCCAGATAGCTCAAATTCATACCTTTGACCCTTTATCTTGTCATTGTATTATATATTATGAAGGTGCTTCTATCAGATCTTTATCTATTCGTGCAGATACACTACTCCCGACCCCTTTAAGCAATGCCTCCCACTACTCGGCACCAATGTGAGGTGCACCAAATTGGGCCCCAGGCAACAAGAACTTGTGGGCAACTATTACCCAAAATATTGGTCGTTATGGAAGCAAGGATCATCTACGTGAGGCTGCATGGCACAATGGCAGCCAGTTGCGGGTGATTTCAGTATGGGAGACGCCCCTGATGGCTGTGGACAAGTCCCACGTACCGTTCCCGAGGATATTCGTACAATCCTCGTCGACTTCATCACGAAGTAATCCATTGGGAGAATACCACGATCCAGACCGATACCGCAGTCGATAGTGTCCTCCGGGAGGAGACCTCCAATGAACTACGGGCGACAGGTGTTATCACCCAACTTCTCGATGGATCATCCAAGACGGTTGATGCGACGAAGAAAATTGTTGTCTCGGGCGCCGTGTACTGCAGTTCCGCCATTATGATGCGTGGATCCCGCGAGGAGCTGGTCCAATTTAACATCAACGGCAAGATTGACCTGCCTGGAGCGGGTAGGAGCCTGACGGACTATCTGGTTAGCTCCACCCTTGAATATTAGCTCTATATTGCCTCTGACCTGCATGCAGATCATTTTTACGTTCTACGAGATCGAAAAGGAAGGCCAGACAAACTACTGGCATCCTACCACAAAAGCAACAGGGCCAAGGCCTACATGCAGTGAAAGGGGCAGACGTTTGGCTTGTTGTCAACATTCCTCTTCTGCTGTTTCGCATTCATGGACGTGTGGTCGAAGGCCAAGCCCGATGAGACACGACCCGAGACAGCTTGGATGGGACTCTATGAAGCTTACGCCACCCAGCCCAAAGTCGAATCTTCACGATCGAGTCTCAAGACGGCCCCAAGCTGTATTAAGGTTATTCTATTGGCCATATTTTGTATATAGTTACCTATCTATGCCTAACATTATCAGGGAAAAGTAATTTATTTCCGATGTCATCTATAACCAATCCCTTGACTGAAAATGAACATAGCCCGCGAAGCCCAACATCAATCAAAGCACGCATTTCCTCAACTCAAACAACCTCAAACTCCGCACTACTAGGCCCCTCCCCATTACAAGCTGTCAGATCCATCGGACAAGCACTCATAAACACCACACACTCCTGCTCGGCCCTCAGCACCACAAAATCCCCGACCTTACTATCCGGCTCCAAAACCCTCAACCCATTCCCACTAATCTCCACATTCATGAACAAATTCAACGGATCAGGCGTCCATCCACTCTCCAGCAACCCAGAAACATGTCCGAACGCCGGCTCAGCACATTGCTTCACAGCGTCGCGAAGATTCTGGGCACAGTTGTCGTGGTCCGCGGTACCTCCAAGTTCGAGATATCGTTCTGGAGAGCAAGCTGCGTAGAGAACGTCGTGTGTGCCCCGGGATGTGTCCTCGGTGATGGTCAAGATAGGGTTTCGGTTGTTGTCAACAAAGGATTCGTTGATTGAGGGAAGGAGCTTTTGTAGGGTGGGTCGGGTGTGGGCCATGGACATGTATCTGGGGACCGTGTTGGGTGTGGAGGGGATCGTGAATGCCCAGGTGTCGATGACTTGGCTTCCGGAGGTGTTTATGATTTTGATTGATTGGCCGGGGTGGAGTCGTTGGAAGGCGAAGCTTCGGGCTGGGATGGTGGGCATTTTTGTATAGAGGATGGCTATAGCAGGGTTGGCTTTTTTGGAGTTCCTGAGCCTGAGTTCTATATCCACGAAGGTCTATGCGTACTGATTCATAAATGAAGGTTCAAGCAACGACTTCCAACGGGACAAGTGCTGGTATTATATGCTCAACCCCTTGAGTTGCATTGATAAGCTGCGTGTCTCCAGAAGAAGATAAGGTGACGTCATTTCTCCGCGGAATCACTCACATATTGGGCTGTCAGGCAGTATAACATTTCCTCTGCTGAAACCCGCATAACCCTTGTATACTGTCGAGACTTCTTCGTTTCCTTTTAGATGTGGTGTAGCTAGCTAGAAAGCTGGTCTGGTGGAGCCTCCAAAAGTAAAGGTGGATCGTGTAGATTCCCCATCCTCATTTATTAACCTAATCTAACCTACTTTGTATACATCCAAAGCAAACTAACCACCCGATCTCCGGGTTACTATACCCACAAACCCATAACTAGTTAGTAACTGCGACATCTGCGGTGCTGACATGCATGGATTCCCCCCACCCCACCCCCTCCTTTACCCCAACTTGCATATCAGACAACGCATCACCATAACCCCAACCCCAACTCCCCCTCCAACACTCCACCCACCACCACAACAACAATGCCCACCAAAACCCTCGTCATAGTCGGCATAACCGGCAACCAAGGGCACTCCATCGCCACGCGGTTCCTCCACGACCCAACCTACCACATAATCGGGCTAACGCGGAACCCAACCTCCCCGATCGCCCAATCCCTCTCAGCGCAAGGCATCACCATCCTCCCTGCCGATCTCAACGACCCCAGCACACTCACCCCGACCTTCCGCGGCGCGAACCTCATCTTCAGTGTAACCAATTACTGGGAACCATTCTTCCGCGAAGACTGCCGAAAACAGGCAGCGGAGCAGGGTATCTCATGTCGACGGTACGCGTACGAGGTGGAGGTGCAGCAGGGGAAGAATATTGCTGATGCGGCAGCCGCGACGGTGGACTCGTTGGATGAGAATGGGTTTGTGGTGTCGACGTTGAGTCATGCGGCGGTGTGTAGTGGGGGACGGTTTGGGGAGTTGTACCATTTTGATGCGAAGGCGGAGGTGTTTCCGAATTATGTGAGGGAGAGGTACCCGATGTTGGCCGGGAAGATGTCGTGTGTGCAGACGGGGTTTTTTATGACGAGTTATAGGTTGGTTCCCGGGGCTTATTTTAGAAAGGTGAGTTTTGACGTTTTTGGTTGGGGGTTGTGTGGCTGATTTGCTGTGTTTAGAAGACGACGGAGGAAGAGAAGGTGTCGTTTGAGATGACTTTTACGACTGCGCCTGATGCGAAGGTTCCGCATTTGGATGTGAATGCTGATTTGGGGAACTTTGTTTATGCGGTGTCGAAGATGCCCCCTGGGAAGAGCTATATGGCTTGTGGGTCGTATTGTAGCTGGGCGGAGTATATGAGGATTTGGGGGAGGGTCAATTCGGTCCCGGCAAGTTATCGGCAAATTACTCTTGAGGAGCTGATGGAGAAGACTCCGGATCCGGAGTTTGGGCGTGAGGTAGGTGATATGTTTACTTATTCGACAGATCCGGGGTATGATGGCGGTGATAAGGAACTGCTGACTGCGGAAGACATACGCAATGTGAGTGTGTTGAGAGGATATGATATTTAATCCACAGCTGATCTCTACAGGGCGGGATTGAGTGTCCAATGACCAGTTTGGAGGAGTGGATAAAAAAGGAGGATTGGTCGGCTGTCTTGAATAGTTGATAGGTTCTGATGTATACTTGTGGCTGTCCAAGAACTTCTGTATCACGACCGAGGTTCGGCCAATATGACATGAGCGGCCCTACCAGACTGTGGACGTCTAGTTGACTCTTGCACCTGAGTAGACAGAGACTGCGCCACTGCATTCCGTATTTCCTCTTTGATAAGTGCAGAGAGGCTCACTTGCACGTCATTGACCAAGCCAGCGCGGATTGAATCAAGCTGGCCCGATAGGCTTGACTGCACATTGGCATGAACAGTACCTTGGAGTTGCTTAGCAACCTCTGCCAATGCATCGCCCCCGAGCCTGGTCTCTCTGGACATCCCAGCCAATGTCAGGTCCTTCCAGCAAGCAGAGTGAATATCGCTGATACGTGGAATGCGGATTGTGCTCAGATGCTTGACTGTACGTTGAAGCACGATAGAATCATGGTCCCATTTCTTAATCGTGGCAAGACGCATCACAGCGGAGTAAACTTCAAACGTGAGGTCTTCCACCTTGGCTCTGGTGTGATACGGTATTTCGCGGCCATCGTTAATAAGTCCGTGATACTGCGTACACTTGCTGCCGAACCGAATCAGATCCTTGACATGGGACAGCAGATCAACTGTCGCCAAATATCCAGGCCTTAGACCAGCACGTTGTGGTCCTGATTTCGATTCGGGTAGTTTCTCATCGTCATAGCTTCCGCGCTGCACATCAAGGTCCATGGCAACAAGATCACTGAGATCTGAAGAAGTCAGCCCTTTGGTTGCATTCTTTGGCAGGCCAACGAGGAAAGCTTGAGGTATCTGAGGAGACTCATTGACGGAGGACTTCTGTGGCGATTGCGACTCCTCCAGAAGATCTCTCATACATCCCAATATCAATGTTCCTATATTCTGCTATGAGTTAGTAGATAATTGAAGCAGAAATAGGAATGTTCACCTACCTCAATGATGTAATTGAGCCCAGCCCAGAACAACGCCTTGTACAGGAAGTCTTCACTTTCTAGTTCATGTTTGTCCATACGAATTCCGCTTATGTATCTCTTGATGTCTTCCAGTTGTTCAACAAATGGAACAGAAAATTGGTAATCTGCAGCCAGATTGGCCTGGCAATTCTCCAGATTCCAGAGACAGGGAAGCCGTCTCCATTTGTCCAATGCGGTAGCTAGCAGCTTCTGGCGCTGCGAAAGCTCCTTTGTGATGGACTTCTGTGGCAGGAACAACTTCCTATAGGCCGCCACAATAGAACTGTCAGTCTTCTCCATTCTTCTGTATGCTGTAGTCCAGGCCTTCTGAATTTGGTGTTTGTCCTTTGCTCCGCCGGCTTTGAGAGCTGCAATAATACTTTTGGAGACAGGTCTTGCGTTCCACGCAGCCTGGAGCGCTGTTCCGAGTCTACCAACAACCTTATTGGGACTGGCACCATGCTCAAGCAGCATTTGCACTGTTGACTCTTGACCAGCTGCTGACGCTGCCACTAGGGCGGTTCCAAAGAATCCTGCTATATGGTCGACTGCGATTCCCCCGGAATAGTTCCCCGCCTTTGGCCCACCTGCAAGCAGCAGGCTGACAATAGAATTATTTCCATAGTATGCTGCTACATGGAGAGGATTGCCTAACGTTCCATCTTCAGTTCCGGTTACTTTCGCTTTGGAATTGAGTAGCATCTCAGTTATCGAATGATGTCCTTGAGCGGAAGCCACATATAGTGCGGTTCCATGGGGACCTTTCTCGGCGTTCACGTTGACATGCTTCAATAAGTCCGCGACGATCTGCTTATAGCCACGATAAACTGCCACTTGTAGTATTGTCTCCCCGTCAGCATTGCGTGTGTTCAAGCCCTTAGGATCAGTTTGAATCAATTCCTCGACGACCGGCCCGAGATTGAGCTTAAGTGCGTAGTGTATCCGAGAGCCACGCCTTTGTCTTCGACTCTCGGCTTGGGCCCCATCCTTGCCGGTCATAGATTGATCTCCAGGCTCAAGCCAGTCCAGCCAATTATCGAATTGTTCAGACCGGAATAGCCCACGGATCCTCCCTTGAAGCAAGGCACGCTCATTGGCCATACCGTCAGCTTTCTCGAATAACTGGTAATGTTGAAACCAGTACTCGGCAGCATAACTTCTGAGGGTCAGTTCGAATCTGTTCTCACTGGCTGTGTCCCCAGCTTTCAGTGATTGCAAAAGGACATCAAGACAGCGTTGGGTAATTTCAAAATGAGCCTGTTCCTCGGAACAAAGGAACTGCGATATAAGGCTGTGCTGACCTAGGCGAACCTGTGTCTCCAGATACTCTTTCGCAGAGAGATGGGCGAACCGAAGAACTCTGTCGCACTTCTTGCTCTTGCGATTAATAGTTAAGGTTTGCGTAGACTGGGTCACCCACCGGCCTGTACAGATCTCGTAAACTGCATCAGCATCATGAAGGCCAACTGCAGAGGCAATTTCCTCTTGAGTAAGCGGCCGTAGTTGTCTCAGAAGCCATATGAACATTGATCTTAAGAACTTCCCATCAATTGCGTTCACAGAGCTCAAATGCTTCTCATAAATGGCTACCATGCTGATCGGAACTTCGTTCAGTTTTGCCTCAATTTTCTTAGGGTCCTTTCGACACTCGCGTATTTCCTGAACCAACGATGTAGCCCAGAGAAAGTTCCTATGATTTGTTAGCCATAGCATGGATAGTCATTGTGGTGGACTAGTGTGACTGTACTTTTTAGCTCCTTCAGTAAGTCGTGTCCGAATACGTGACTTTAGGGAAACAGGGAGATCGCTGATGCCATCACCGTGCTGCATTGTCGTGTCAATGTAATTGCGAATATCAATTTCGAGCCCTTCCGCTACGTCAGTTTCCACAAGTATGTCTTTCAGATGTCCGCGAAGGCAATCTCGTATATCTTCTTCATTCTTGCTGACCAGGAGAATGTGTAGGTTCGAAAGTCCCGACTGAGCCAATCGTTTAATGAGTTCGAGAAGTTTGTGACGTTCTCGATCTTGTGATTCTTTTGGAACCTCGTCGAGGCCATCTAGGACTATGAAGACGTCCTTCTGTAGCTCAAGCACTGACAAGATGCTGTGCAGGTACTCGATGAGTGTCTTGGTGTCTGGATAACGTGCGAACTTCCGGTCCTCGACTAAGGCACTAGATATCTCTTCTGGGAAGCCCCCAAGGCTACTTCCCAGCTGTCGTAACACAAAACGCAACAACAAGTCGATGCATGTAGTGTCCGTCTCATCAAAACGAAAGTACCACCGCAATAGTACCCTGTTTTTGTCTTTCTTGAACAACGTTTCGAGTTGATTGATGATGGTCGAACTGTAGAGAATTAGCGGGCTTAGAAGTAATCAGAGGGCACTGGGCTGGCGTTTTCGCATACCATAACGACGACTTTCCACATCCAGCTATTTATCCTGTTAGTGTATGCGATATTATTTCTGGCTTTTTGAGGTTCCATACATTCACCATGCAGCCAAAGTAAGGATTGTGGATTATCCACCCAGCTTGTATATTCCCGACGCTCAAGCAACCACCTCCCTGCTACCTCAGTAGCATCGCTGGATACAATGGCAGACCTTAGCTTTCTATGCTTGCCATCGCTGGCCGCAGCTAGATCGCTGGGGAATAGCCATTCAAGTAGCTGTGTTTGAATTTCCGCTCCAAGATCTCAGCTTATGGTTCTTGTCACCAGAAATCAGACACCGTGACGTACCTGAAAGCGTCTTATCAATCTTCACAATCCCCTTCATGATCAGAGATGTACTCTTGTTAACGTCCCCTAGTATAGTCTGGATCTTCTTGACTTGCTTCATCTCCTCCTCTTGGGCTATTAACATGTCAGCACAAAGAGCAACTCCCATGAGAAATCAGCAATCGACTTACTTTCGAACATGGATTGCTGCTGCTCAGCCATTATTTGCCGAAACCACTTTTCCACCATCTCGTCGCTTCCCTGAATGGCGTTCTGCAAGTCCTTCAACGGTTCCTGAGTAAGCGATTTGAAACTCTGGATAATTCGGTCTAACCAATATAGTCAGTATTGACAACAATCGAGGCAGGTACATCCTTGATACCTAATCTTTTCGATGTAACCGACTGCTTCACTTTTGCGGAATACTGTAGTATACATATGTACACATTGACAATGGCATCCCCTAATTCGGCCGCATTGGACACCTGGACTCGGTGGTAAAGAGCCTCGATGCGAGAATATCGAGCCAGAAGTACGGCAAGGTATTCGGAGGCTTCCCAGATGCGCTGCATCCGTTCCTGGTTGTTTTGGATAAGCTGCGAAAGTCAACCATATGTCCATCCTGTAAAAAATAAGTCAATGACCACAAACCGTCAGACCAAAGGAAACCACCGCCCATGCGATAGACGCATAGCCTGTCGGATCAGATTTAACGACCACATCGCCCAACGCCTGAACGGTCATGACCGATTTCAAGATAGAACTTGCACGATCATATGCGTTCCCCTTCGTTTTTGACGGCCATCGCTCCTGATGAATGCGTAGTTTGCTTTTAGTCAGGTTCATAACACCCTCTACGTACTCCTTGGGCAATTTTCCTATCCGATTGACGTTCCTATCTTGCCACTTTTGAGTCAGACGCTTCCTATTCGCGTCGCCCACATCGACGGACCTCCACGCCTCTTCCCATAGGTTCCGCTTAGGCTCTACCACGGCAGGTTTTGGCTTCGCTGCTGCCACGCCATTGGACTTTGCCTGTACTGGCTTCGGCTTTGTAGGTTTCGAAGATGGTGTTTTCTTGGCCTTGGTGGTTGTGGCCGGCTTGGCCTTTACCTTCACCGGTGATGGTTTCTCAGGCGGGTGTGGAGTGTCATCTTGTGGCTTGACCATTTGGCTTATTGAGGAAGGGTTGGTTTGGTATTCTGTAATAGTTGATGTGTGATGCTAAGGGAAGAATAATGGCGAGTGAAGCAGTCATGATGGAAGATCCCGTTCTTGTGGGAGATTTGTACCCCGCGCGAGGCTCTGCAGAGGTCAAGCTGATGGGGCTGATACTGTTTCATAGTGGGCAGAGCTAATGCTGGTGCAGGACGAGGGGACAAAAACAAGTATCTTGATTGGAGGATTCGTATGCGTTGTCAGCTAGCTAGCCAGAAGAATACGAGGCGCCCGCTTGGCTTGGCCCTGCAGTGATGTCTGCATGCTGCGGGTCACACCAAAGAAAAGTGTTTGTGAAAAGTCGAGTGCAGAACGACTGTCACGCGGATCACTGATGGGAGGAATATGGGAAGCCTATGATAATGCCTGGAAATTACGGCAGGCGTGAAAGCGGCTCTAACAGGTAACCTTATCCTTGAATTATGCAGGAAAATAATATAAGTTTCTCCAGACCGTTGGGAGCTAAGCGAACTTAAATTCATTGCAGTCAAAGAGGTTATCCTTCCAATGATAAGATAAGTCGTATGTTTATTCTCAAAATGAAAGTGACATTCGAGATACGCAACCATCATTCCAACATGATATGACAGCTTCATTCCACTTAGATACTTCCCCACGTCAAAGATCCTCTTTCCTGAGAAACTAAAATGTGGGTTTTGACACACTGATCCTACTGTGCCTCTACATACCACGGCAAGACAACATCCATAGTATGATAAAACTCCTCAGCCACTGCTCCCTCCAAGCCCCAGGCGGAGATCACCTCCATCCCAGGCCGATATCCCCACTGCGTATTGATCCTCAGATGGGCAATCCTGGCGCTCTTATCCCGACTGAACTCTAAAGTCTCATTACTTTCTTCTCCTGTACGATAATTAAGAAGTGAGAGCCCCATGATTTGTAGTCGCGGCATTCGCTGCGCTGCTGTGCCCATGGCCCGATAGAGAATACCAAGGTCGGCACTTTTGATGTATTCCCGCCGGTCAGAAAACCTGTCCTTTGGCGGAGGGTTTACCAGCGACTCCCGACGTGCAGCTTCAGGGGTTAGTGGAGGATCAAGGCCAAGTAATGGGGACCCTGTCTTTGTGTTAGTCACAAAAGATGATTGGAATATACGCTCTTCATAAGGCATTATATGCGTAGAAAGACAATCTGGAAGTCGAGATCAAGCGCAGCGACACTTACCATCTTCGTTGTATGGAGGCACATTGAGCACTCGAAGCCGTTCGAGTCTCGGCCAGTAGGGAGCATTGGTGCTGTTTTCCGCCGATGGCCAAAAAAGAGCCTTGCTGATTCGCATGTGACTCAATGTGAGTGACTGTAGCCGCATACTCAGGTTGTGAAGTCGGGTGGACAGATAATCCATCTCATTAAGACCCACATAGGTCAGTCGAAGGCCATTTAATTCGTCTTCGTGTATGAAATGAGTCCATTCTCGCTTCGTCATAACGGAAAGCTCAAGGCTCTCCACGGAGCTTGGTACACAACGAATGAAGTCGATCATTTCTAGATTAAAAGGAAGCCGGTTAGCCCGTATCTCTTGAAGGCCATGAAGGGAAATAAGAGCATACCTTGTCTTAATAAGCGACGAATATCACCTACAGAAGGAGGCATCCATATAAAATCTTGCAGTAATACATGCTTCACTTTGGGGAGACGTTCAAAAATCAATCCAAATGATGATAATAAGACAGCATTTAACCAAGTCCCCTTTACTGCAATCGACGTGACGCATACTGGACTAGGTAAGGGTTCCAGGTGCTTTGCTTTCAAGCAGGTTGGAAGTGATTTTCGGTGCTTGAACAGAATATCCCGTAATGATGATGTGTACTCTGAATATCTGGGATTGAAGGTCCCACAATATGGATTGTTGTCGCAGAATACCAGTTCGAGCCCCGGATGCTGCTCTCCCCAAGTGTGCAACACCAGAAACAAGAAGCCGAGCGCTTTGTGGTACTCTTGATCATACCATTCATATAGATACTCATTGGTGTTTGCCCGATACATATAATCAGTCCCCTTTGGTAAGACAATATATGGTCGCCAGACGATATGTCGAACATAATTTACCCTGGCACGTCGCATGTCATTGCCTGTAGTGAACCTGGAAAGTTTCAACACGCAAAAGTGCCCTCTAATGAAGATTCTCTTCCAGATTATTGGCTCCATAATCCCTTGCCATTGACGAGAAACAATTGAGTATCGGGCTAGGTTTTGTGAACGCCAAGCCTGTGGCACATCGTAATAACTGGCTCCAGGAACAAGTTTTGGAAGAAGTTTGTCCGTAGAGGTATGTTCGCGCAGATAATTGACGATGAGGCTGATTATCTCGCTGGGAAGAAGCTTCATTGTTCTGAGTTGGCGGTGGTGCTGAAGTGCTTTCTGACCTTGCTGATGTCGCGCTGGGATAATTCTAAGGGTAGATCAACAGAAGCCTTACATATAGAGAATTGTAACTTGCGCACACTTGAAGTAAAACCTTCTTCATGGGAGAGAATGCAAGAATCAGATGTTATTATATACGCTCTCTGGTAGCGTGATGGCTTCCATCACACTATGATAGTTGGATCTAGTATCACTTATACTCAGTCTCGTTGTCCCTGGGGAATATAGGTAGCTTCCACATTACCCCAAAATTCATACGTAAAGGAATGCACCACCTATTTATTCCTTTTACTACCAGAAATGGGCTTTTGAAACATAATTGTGAGACATCTATCCAAGCACATTTAGTTTGAATCATGTGGATATCTGAAATTTCCTGTTGAAATGGCAAGAATGGTTGACATTCAAAGCGAAGGAAACCGGGATATCCATTGATTTAACCCCTGTCGACTTAAAGCCGCTCACCCCTCTGAAAGATCCAAGATCACTATTAACTGCTGCATTGCATATCTACGCTTTGTTGGGACATTGGAGCAGCCTTTGATTGGACTACTTAGCTCACGTAAGACCGGGTCGCTAGCTATTTTATCGATTTTCTACTTACAGTAAAGCCACTGTTTATCTCAGAAGCGAGGTGTATCGATGAAACAGAACTCAATCAATCATTAAATCACGAGTACAAACAAGAATCCAAGTATTCTTGTCGAGCTACGATTTAGACAAAGCCACAATAACTGGGTTAAATAGCAACGAGGCTGGGGCTGGATAGCGGGTGGCCCGACTCACCAAAGCGCTATCCGGCTCCTACTGCGGGTCCATAATCCTTCGAACAAGGGTCTTAGATGACAGCTTGCAGAAGACATAAGCCAATTTGCTGGTGCCTAACCCATGGGAACTGATGGAAAATTACGTATAAATCAAGTCTTCCCGATATGTGCCATTTCCTATTCAATATACTTGCCAAAGGTTCCTTACTATGGCCTCGGAAAGTCCCTTTTGGGGGTCATCTACTTCACATGCTAAGTTAGTTTGAAGGCTACGAAGCAAATCCAAGCTAACCGTGAAAAGCTTTTGCGAGGAGGTAATTAGTTTATTCATGAGAAAACAATACTGCCGCGTCAATCCGTCCTAACAAGAACATCACATAGGACTACGTGGTGACCAGATACGTCGCCGAGTTTATCAATACCCTAACCAATCTTGTGTACAGTATGTCGCGACCTGCCGCTTGTACAAACCCAACTAATAAATGACGCAGTATTCTACGCAATATACGGAATTAACCATCTTTGTCGACAATCGAATAAGGATGTCTTCCGCGCCCTTCCCTACTGGGGTTTGATGGGCGTTGGTATCGCTTCTGCAGCTTTTCACATGAACCTCAAGTACCATACTCAGATGAGTCAGTTCATCCACTACCTTCCATTGCTAGGCCACGTAGTGTTGTTCACTAAATCCATTTGGAACAGTGGACGATGTATCCATGCATCTCGCCACAACCCCGGTTCTCCACCGCGTCATGACAGTGAACACCAGTCGCAGAACCTCGATTATCCTAGCGTTTCTGCTGGGTGCAGCTCTTATAGGACTCATAATACACCATGCACTGACAGATGAGCTCATCTTACATTCCGTCACGTTCGTGGTCAGCGTGACGATCATTGGAGTCCGGACAATGCAGTTGATCACCACTCGTACGCCAAAGGATTCTCTCGCTCGACGGCAGATCTGGGGTATGGTAAGATTTGGAGCTGGTAAGACCAACGCATCTATCTATCATTTTCATGGATTCAGTACACTGACTGCCAAAGCCATATTTGAGCTGGGATTCCTCGTCTGGTTAGTTGATGGGTGGATATGCGGATGGCTGAGGAGCTGGCGGGCGACTATTGGCCTACCGTGGGCTTTTCTGCTGGAACTACATGGGTGGTATGCAGATTCACGCTCTCTTTCAAAGGTCCGAGCTAACAATTGGTATGAAACAGGTGGCATATCTGCACCGGAGTTGGCGCTTACATATTCATCGCGGTGATTGATCATCTAGTGTCGGGTGAAGATGTCGGAGCTATTGAGGAATCATTCGCCTGGCCTGCGCCGTGGGCTTCTCGTTCTATTTTTGCGGGTAAAGGTTCAGCCCTGGGTGTCACGCCGGATCTCAAGACAGACTGAGGCGAGAACACTCCAAGTAGATTTGAGGCGGGAGACGGATGGGGACGGATGTTGGTCGGGGTAGAACTAAGCATCAGATATGCTGCGAAGCCAAGCTTTAAGCTCACATTCTTCAACCACTTAAGCTATGATGAAATCCGTGAACCACGAGCATTCTGTACAGTCATAGCAATGATTGATGAATCCGAAATAGGAGATAAGCTTGTACCGGAATAATCTTCAGCCAATGAAGAAGCCAAACTTAGTCACACACGTCCCACCCAGCCAATCGGCAATACGGCATTGAGTCAGTTGTAAGTGATCGGACCCCCGCAATGCACCCCACCGGCAATTGCCCTTGCCGATGCACCCCGCCTTCCAGTCTCAAAAGCTTCGAACTCTTGCCTGCCAGAAACCTCAATCCTCTTATCCAGAGAAATTCTGGACAGATTTGGAAGAACAAGCTTAGACGCAATGGCCAACCAGCTACACAGTGCCCCGCCCTTCCGGGCCGAACATATGGGTTCCTTGCTGCGTCCCGACAACCTGCTTGCGGTGCGTGAGAAGATCCGCGATACCGGTATCTCGGAGCAGGAGGCTGGTCTGCAGGCCGTGGAGGAGGAGACTGTTCGTGATGTTGTCAAGCTCCAGCGGGATCTGGGCTATAAGGCTGTCACTTCTGGCGAATTCAACCGGACCCGTTTCTGGGGACAGATGTGGGATGAGTTCGAGGGTATGGTTCATCGTTCTGATTCTGTAGCCGTCGATCATATAACTGATAAATATGTCAGGCACCATCCGTCTTCAGGATGCCGAAGCGTCCATGTTCAGACTCTACCATCCCGATGTGGTCAGTCTGATTGAAAAGGACCGCAAGGTCATGCCCGGTGACTCGGTCATCGCTGGAACCAAGCTTTCCTGGAACCCTGAGAAGTCGGTGTCGAACCTGCACGAACTGAAGCTGGTTCAGCAGGCTCTGCCTGAGAGTGAATGGCACACCATCAAGCTGACCATGATCACTCCCGCCTGGTTCCACATGCGCTACAAGCAGGGTAAGGCTTACACTCCCGAGGCCTACGCCAACGACGAGGAGTACTTCCAGGACGTCGCAAAGGTGTACCAGGCCGAGCTCGACGCCTTGTACAAGGCTGGACTGAGAAACGTCCAGTTCGATGACCCGGGTATGGCCTACTTCTGCTCCAAGGCCTTCCGCCAGGGCTGGGAAGAAGACAAGGACAACATCGGCACGGTCGAAGATCTGCTTGACGCCTACATCAAGCTGTACAACGACTCAGTCAGCAAGATCCCTGCTGACATGCACACCGGTATTCACCTTTGCCGCGGTAACTTCATCGGAGGCAGACACTTTGCGGAGGGATCTTATGACATCATCGCCAAGAAGCTGTTCGAGAACCTGAATGTCAACACATTCTACCTTGAGTATGACACCGAGCGTGCAGGTGGCTTTGAGCCTCTCAAGTTCTTGCCCAAGAACAAGAACGTTGTTGTCGGTGTCATTAGCACCAAGCTTCGCGAGCTGGAGGACAAGGAGGCGATGAAGGAGCGGATCTACAAGGCCGCCGACTTCGTTAGTGCTGGTAGTGGTGAGACTCGCGAGGAGGCCCTCAAGCGGATCTGCGTCAGCCCTCAATGCGGTTTCAGTACCCACGAGAGCGGATACCCTCTGAGCCTGGAAGACGAGAAGAAGAAGCTGGGTCTGACCAGGCAGATCGCTGATGAGATCTGGGGACAACCTTGAGCTTCTTGGAGCAGTGACTGGGGCGGTGCTTTCCGGCCTCTTAACAGAGATGGAAATGTGATGATGTGAAATGAGTTATGTATTTAACAGACGTGTCATATTAGCACGTGGCAAGATGATGTACATATGGGAGTGGTGAGGGGTGCATCAGTAGGCGCAATTTGATGAAATTAGGCTGAGAAGCATGTGTATGTGTAGTGACATGACACAACTCCACTAGTAGAGATGAACAAACTTGGTCGAGACTTATAATCATTGCAAAGCGAGCACGCCTGATACCGCATCATTATTCCCCAGGATTCAACGTCGTAAAAACAACGCAAAAGCAAAAATATGACATGTATTATGTTCACCGCTAGCACCCCCAAATGGCATCGACCACAGCACGTATCCAAACTAGTTTTGGCCACGTTTAATTCTCATCGCTCAGAATTTAATGCTGGGACTTACTATTCTTCGTCACCAACCAAAACAAGACCCTTGTTTGACGCATTGCCTCACTAGGATTCAAGCTCCACGCCCGTGCGGTAGCCAGACCAAAACACGATGTTTGACGTGGAAGGAAAGGTAAGCGCGTCACTTTCTTTGAATTCCAGCTTCCGGTGGATTACTGAACATAAATCAGTATGTCCTTGTGGCAGGTGGCTCCAAGGGTCTCGGGAGGGAACTCTCCTTGTCGCTCGTAAAAAGAGGTATGTTGAAGAAGAATCCCAGGCTATGGCATGCGTACGGCAGGCACTGACGAGCAATTGACTACCAGGAGCTCATGTGACAGCAATCGCACGCTCTGAGAATGATCTGGACAAACTCAAGGTGGATATGGACGCTGTGCGCGTACACGAAGACCAAGTTCTCGGTATCCAGCGTTTGGACTTGACTAATAGCGATGAGGTCTGTGCCAATCGTAACTCAGAATCAAAAAAAGAACCTTTTTTGACCAGTATATCTCTGACCAGGTATCCGGATTCATCGACGGATTCGGCAAACGCATAACTGCCCTCTTCTGCATCGCAGGCGGCGCCGGCGAGGAAGTAGGCCACTTTGTGGACATTTCCGCCACATCGATTCAGAGCTGCATGGAGAGGAATTATCTCACAGCGGCGTTCATTTCTCAGGCCGTCATGAAGATTTGGGCCACGGAGCTGAAACTGGGAAATGAGCACACCGAAGTTCAGCAACCACGCCATCTGGTCTTCACTGGGTCAACGGCGGCAATAGTTGCAGTCCCGGGGTACGCCGCATATTCACCATCGAAGGCGGCTGTCCGCTCCTTGGCCGATAGTTTGAGGCAGGAGAGTCTCATGTATTCTCCTGCTGGATCTATACAGGTTCACTGCAGCTTTCCCAAGATATTCATGACGGAGAGGATCAACGTACAACAAGCACGGAAGCCGCAGATATGTAAAGAGATCGATGGCACTGCCGACAAAATCGGAGGGTTGACGGTCGAAGATGTGGCTCGGCAGATTCTTGCAGGGCTTGATAAGGGATGTTACATGATCCCGACTGATTTGCAAACACGGTTTCTACTGAATAATATGCGTGGGCCTAGTCCGCGGGACAATTCCTTGGTTGACTGGTTGCTGAGCTGGGCTGCTTTGTTGATTTATCCCGTTGTGGCTACGATTGTGGATTGGAAGGTAACGAGGTATGGCAGACAGCGGCGTGAGTAAGCTTGACATTGCCTCATATAATGGTCATGCTGCTGTTCCTTCCTTTTGACCCATATGGGAGGATATGGTTAGTGCTGTACGCATTGTTAATGTATTGATTAGAACTAATTATGATACTATCGCTAGTACAGTGGCCTCCACATTTACGTCACAATATGGGAAAATCACCCAGAGGATGGACAAAATCCCATAGTTGAGGCCCCTACATAATCCGAAGAAATAGTTTCTCGATTGTTAATTGGCACCATCTTTCTTGAGAAAAAGGCTCTAGGAGCAGATAATAGAGGCGGCAGTAGTTGCAACTTCCGCTGAGCATCCCGGTGGGGGGTTATACATATTAACCTTAGGATAGCTTATTTGGAGTTGATTACGACTGGTAGGTCTAGGCCCCAAAAGAAATCTGTGGGGGATCATTTGCTTGACAGTATTTTCTGTTTCTAACCCTAGAATCATGAGTAATTTGCCTGTTGTTGCTGACATACCCTGATATAGGAACTGGTCAACACCCATATTCGGGATATGACCCAGCTGACAATCCATAGAAGAGCCCATATGCTTAGTGATACCTCCATACCATGTAATAGAGTCCACTATTATTCCCCAAAGTTCGCTTCATTTTCTATGCCGTAATCAGTGGAGGGCGCCCTCCGTATAGAGAATAGTTAGGGCAAATGAGTCAAAAGCGGGTCCAGTGCGGGGACTCCGCAATGGGTTCCAGAAATGACATGCTTCTCGGCGTCGCTATCTCCAAATTTTTTCGCACACTGCCGCCATGTCGACAACTACCACTACAGTGACCAGTGAGATCAGCTCACTCCGTCTCTCCGCTGAAGAAGTCCGACTTCCAGCCCCTCGAGATGACAGAAAGTCGCGCCTGCAACAAGTCGTCGTGATCACCCAGCTGTTCGCCGTCACTCTCACGGCCAGTGTGATCAATGGCTTGGTTGTAGTCGGGCTCCCCACCATCACTGCAGACCTCCAGCTGCCCCCTTCGCTCTCCCTATGGCCATCCTCGGTATGCAGTCTCGCCACGGCTTCTACACTTCTTCTGTCCGGCTCAATTGCCGACACAATTGGCCCACGATGGGTGGAACTAGTCGGATCTCTCGCCAGCGGCGCCCTGATGCTTGGACAGGGTCTGTCGCAAACTGGCATTGAGCTGGTGATCATGCGAGCCTTCCAGGGTGTCGGTCTCTCAATGCACCTCGCCTCTTCGGTGTCCATTGTTACCCAACTTTTACCCCCTGGTAAAGGCCGCAACCTGGCATTCTCTTGCATTGGTCTGAGCCAGCCATTGGGCTTCTCACTGGGCCTAGTAGTAGGCGGAATTCTAATTGACACAATCGGCTGGCGCGCAGGCTGGTACATAGCCGGAGGAATCACTCTCTTCTTCACTGTCATCGGATTGTGGTCGTTACCAAAGAGCCCCGTCCAGCGAGATGGACACATCCTGCGCAATGTCCGAACCAAGATCGACTGGGTGGGGGCTGGACTTGCTTCAGCATTTATGGCTTTGCTCTGCTACCTGCTCGCGTGGGTACCCTCAAACACCAACACTATACCCCAATCTAACCAATTCACACACACAGCATCCTCAGCGCAAACCCCTCCCGCATCCGCTCCGCAGAAAGCATCATCATCCTCTGCGTCGCCGCCATCGCCCTCCCCACCTTCATCACCTGGGTCCATTTCCAAGTCAAGCGCGGCAAACCAGCCCTAATCCCCAACGCACTATGGAGAAACACCTCTTTTTCGAGCATCTGCGCGACAGTCGCCCTCTCCAACGCAGTAATCAACTCCATGGAACTCTTCGCCAGTTTATTGTACGTCCCCGCCTCCCGTCCCTATCCCCTTGCCAGGTCACCCTCTTTTATTTTTATCAACACGTACTAACAAAACACCCCAAACAGCTTCCAAGAAATCCAATCCCTCAGTGCCCTCGGCGCCTCGATCCGCATCCTCCCCAGCCTAATCGTCGGCGTGCTCATCAACCTCGTAATCGGCTTCTTCGTACACCGCATCCCCGCCTACTGGATCGTAACCATCACCTCCTTCTTCTGCGCCTTCTCCCCACTCCTCATGGCTGTTATCAACCCAGCCTGGACATACTGGGCGAATGCCTTCGTCGCGCAACTCCTGCAGCCCATTAGCGCGGACGCGCTCTTCACGGTAGGGTTGATCGTTATCACGAATGTGTTTCCGGATGATACGCAGGCGTTGGCCGGGGCGGTGTTTAATACCTCGGCGCAATTTGGGAGTGCGTTGGGGATGGCGGTGCTGCAGGTGATTTCGACGGTTGTGACTGAGGAGAAGGAGAAGGGTGGAGAGAGTGAGAAGAAGGCATTGATGGAGGGATATCGGGCCAGTTTTTGGACTATGTTTGGGTTGATGGTGGTTTGTACGGCGGTGGGGTTCTTTGGGTTAAGGAGATCGGGGAGGGTGGGGTTGAAGAGGGATTAGGTTGTTGTTATTTGGGTTGTTTTGGGGGGTTTGTGGTTTATTGTTCTGCTGGGTGGGGTGTTGGGTTAGGAAAAGTTTGTTGGATTTTTGTTTTCATTGTCTATATTCAATTGGGGTGGTATGGTTTTTAGGGTTGTTGTGCATCTGCAGGAAGTGGACATTATAGACTGTGACATTATGATTAGCGAAGGGAAAGCATATTTCCAAGGATACTTCGAAGATAAATAAATTACATTCATAACCGAAAGTCTGGCATTCTTGTCTCAGAGTATACTATAACATATTCAACAAAACCCCTTCACCCTCTTCGATCCCTCATGTTTCAAAACAGCCCCTCAACCTGTACATCACTTCGCACTACCCACCCCGAGCGCCTCAACCGCCTGCCTCGCCAAACCCTCAAACGTCATCCCCGGCGCAGTAAACGCATGAAAACTCAACGCCAGTCCAAACTCCCCAAACAACCACTGCTGCAATTCGGACCCAATCATACTATCCAGTCCATACGAGGCAACAGTCCCTTTACTGAAATTTATTTCGTGACTCTCCCTCCCCAACATACTCGCGCATTTCTGTACAATCCTATCTCCAACGCGCGCCATCAACGTCTCATAATCCAGCTCCTCCCCGTCACCGATAACTTCCCCATCCGGCTTCGAAGCTCTCAACGAACCCTGCAAAAGATCCAAGTCCCGCTGTACACCGCGTAGACGAGCATCGCCATGCCAGAATAGACGATTTGTACCGGCAGAACGGTGTAGCAGGGAAGGATCGAGGCCTAGTATAAGATGGCTGGGACTGTTCGGGGACATGGCGACTTCGAGACCCTCGAGCATCTCTATCTCGTCGATTCCGTAGAAGCCTAATCGCTGGAGGGAGTCCTCGACGGTTTGGTTTTCTGCTACTACGCCGACGTCGAGGAGCATCGGTAGCGCTATCGAGCAGGCTGGTAGACCAAGGGACTGGCGGTATACTGCAAACGCGTCGAGGAAGCTGTTACCGGCACCGTAGTTGGTCTGGCCCGGTGTGCCTATTATGCCCGAGATCGAACTAGTCATGACGAAGAAGTCTAGTGGAGAGTTGATAAGGACCGAATGGAGGACATGTGCTATGCGGAGTTTGGGGGTGACCGCAGCTTGGTATTGCGCTGCTGTCATGCCCTGGAGTAGGCCGTCCTAATGGATGATTAGATCATGTTGTTGGAAATGGGAATAATGAAGTTCTTTACCTGTAGTACCATTGCAGCGTGCACCACACCGCGGATTGGTCTTTCTTTCATCACTCGGGCGACAATGGCTCTCATATCGGACTCATTGCCAGCATCAGCCTGGAACACCTGTACGGATGCGCCGGCCTTTTCGGCAAGTTCAACGGTCTGTGCTGCCTTTTGCTGCGTTGCGCCTGAGCGTGACACAAAAATGAAATGTCGACATCCTCGTTCCGTCATCCAACGGACCAGACTGCTTCCAAGGCCGCCGAGCCCTCCAATAAGTAGGTATGCTGCATCAGGGAAGAATTTGACCCGTCGGATCGGAGGTAAGATCTGCAGCTGTCAGACTTGTAAAACACGAGGCTGATGAGAATTGCAACATACCTTCACCGAACTTTCACCATAGTTGAATCGCACTGCCGCATGTACCTCTTCAGCTGAACTTAGAGATGCTTTGGACTGGTTTCCATTTGACTGCGTGGGCATTTGATCAATGCTGTACACTGGCACATGGGACGTCCAGATGTCCTTGTTCTTTTTCAAAAACTCCAACCCATCCTGTAGGATTTCAGCCGCCATCTCTTGTCGTGTACCGAGGTTTTCGTATCCCATCGGCAGGAAAGAAGCACCCTTGGTAAAAGGACCTGTATCCAGCTTCCCTTCCATATCTCCATTGCATAAGACAAACCGACCGGCCGCTGATATGTGTCTCCATGCCTCTTGACCAGCTACTGAGAACCGATTGCATATCACGAGTGAAAATTTCCCGGAGGTAGCTTCGAGAACTGGCGACATATGAGATGCATGCATATCCTCAACGACAACAATCGGAATGCCGGACGACGAGGCTTCATACAGTTCTTCGCTCTCTTCTTGTGTTGCTACAACGACAGTGATCCGGGCATTCAGTTCCTTACTGAGACTGATGGCCAACTTAGCAAACAAGAGGGGCATATGTAAAATGAGGATATGATCATCCTTTTTGGCTCTTCCTAACCATCTCATGCAGAGAAGGACTTTGCATACAGTTGGAAGGGTGGCGCAAAGGAGTGCTGGGTCGAGACCCTCACAATCGAAATAGCAACCTTTCTTTGTCTTGACAATGGTTTGATAGCCACTCTGTGCGGCGAGTGTGACTACCTGACGAAGTGTACTTTCGCGACTATTGGAAATTGCATGGCCGACAACGATGACCGGTTGCTTTGTGCGTTGGTCAGGAGCGCAACCCTGGTACTCAGTCATCTCCACCTGGAGACATATCTCGTCCTCCTTTGAGTCTGTCATAAAATCTTCATTGGCCCTGAAGATTAACGCGCTGTTCACAAGCTCGCTCTGTAGCGGCATGTCCAGTGACAATTTCACCGCCTGACTATGTTCGGGGCATATACTGGGGCATTCCCATGGCACCAGCCGATTGGTATGGAGAGCTCCTTCGTGAAGCCAGAACTCCGTTTCATGACCAGAGCCCCGAGGTGCTGCAGTTCCCAGGGCTGTCAGCATAGCCTGTGCAATGCTATGAGGTGACTCCTCCCAATCGACATCCACTGATAGAATCTTAGGCCCAGGATGCTCCGATCTGGCAGCCCGCAGGAATCCTAAACTCAGGCCGCCTTCGGAATTCCGGCCTTGATTAACACCCAAAGTGAGCCAGAGAAGCACACTTTCCTCGGAGAGAACCAGCTTCTTGAGCAAGTCGAACTGTGTCTCGCAGGGATTCGACAAAATGCTACCATCGACGTCAAGAATTACCGTATTTTGGTGAAACGCATGGTTGGACTGGTGCAGATTTACTACATCGACAGCCACTTCCAGAGCCTGAAGCGCTTCCACATACTCCTTCACCAGACGTTGGTTCGAACTTTCTTCGGCCACCAAGGTGACCACTGTCGGCTCTATTTCTTGAATACCTCCGTGTTGTAGCTCCTCGGAGAGTGCCAGCTTAGTTCTTGAAACAGAGAGTTCTAAGGTTGGTCTGGAAATCATGGAGGGACAGTCTAGACAGCTGCTATTTACCGAGGTATCTTCGTCCTGTAATATGAGCATCCTACCGGTGGGCGCCAGGATAGATTGTAGTTCTTGGATAATGTCCGAATTCAGCTTTCCTTTGAAAATGACAAGGTCATGTGCCCCCTCCAAGCTTGAAGATAACTGGGACATGTTTGGTGAGAGCTGTATTATCAATACATTCTCCGGTAGAGCGAACTGTGGTATCTTTTCCACCTCCCCGTCGAGCATCTCAGCAACAGTTAATTTTCCGGTATCGGGAAAATGGTGTGCCATGGCCTCTATCAGGCTATAGTCGTCTCCTGCAGCGACAAACGCTTTTTGTATTGGTCGCTTGTGGTTAACCAGGCCAATCAACCCAAGGACAGCTTCTTCGAGCGACTTGTAAGACCACTGCCCCAGAGACTTAGCTGCACGGTCAACGTCAGGTTGCCACCGGTTTTGCATGTACTTCTGGTCCGGAACGACCGCTGTCGAGCGAGCCGACCAGCTCATCTCGTGCTCCTTGAACCATATTCCCTTACATTCCAGCAACGGGAGCCCGTATGCATCGACTAGCTGTATGTGCGACCGGAAAAAAGGGCGCGGGCACTCATCCGTCCATGCAAATGCATTTCCTTCAGCCTCTTCGGGATAAGCAATGGTCATCTCTTCGACACGCATCGGTATTGTGCTGTAGGGCATGACATTGTAACGTCCCTTCTCGAAGGAAATAATGGCAAGCTGGAAACAGGCATCAATGGTTCCGGGATGCATGACATATCTTGATTCGCCAGAAATAGTCCCACTCTCTTGATCCAACTCGATGGTACTTGCTGCTGCATGATCCCGGCCATTGGATTCAACCTCTCCTAAACGCTGAAACGTGCGTCCATAATAGACTCCAACTCGATCGAATGTCTTGTACCACCTATCTGAGTGGGTACATTGATGCAGCGTCTTGACCATGTATTGATGAGACTGCCAAGGTATGTTCTGTCTTGTCTTGCGAGCTGTTATAAGGCCGCTGCAATGAGTAGTCCAATGGTTGTTCAGGAGGGACTCAACAGTGATTTTATACCAACCGGATCCCTTATTATTTTGGCGCGACAGTATGGTCATTACCTCAATTCCATCTTCGGTATCTGGTATTACAAGTCCTTGCTGAAATTCAAAGTTCTTCAAGCATGCGCCATTGCTCGGACTGAACGGTGTATCACTGATTTGCCATAAGGCTTCAATGGCTACAGCAATGTACGCTGCGCCAGGCAGCAAGACCTCGCTTCCAATCTGCCACATAGTTAGCCAACAAGCAAGAATCTGAATGCATTACTCACACGATGGTCTCTCAGCCATGGTACATCTCGGAGCCGTAGAACATTCTTCCAGGCATAGATCGTATTTGAAAGCCCTACAACTCGTCTGCCCAAGAGGTCATGCCGAGGTTCTGATTGTTGGCGCTGTTCTTGGCTTATTCGTGTCTCTCGCCAGTACTCCTTTGTATAATTCCATTGGTAAGGCGGAAGGTCAACTAGCAGTCGTGGGCCTGGCTCCTTGCACAAGTCGTAAGTCACATCCTGCAAGCGAACATTGTACCGGGAAAGAAACAGACGTCCGGCAACTCGCAGCAAGTCGTCGCAAGAATCAGATCCTCTGATAATACTCGGAATGTATTTTATTTCGCTCTGCAGGCCATTACCCGATATTATCTGCTTCAGTGGCCCAGACAGAGCTGAGTGAGGCCCGCTCTCGACAAAGTGACTCAAGCCCTGCAGTGCTTCCATACTCTGAAGTTCGGTGATGGCTGCATGAAAGCGGACCCTATTGATGAGGTTTTCTACCCAATACCTGGAATTCATATCTTTCTCATAAACTCGTGTCCCCGTAACAGAAGATATCATTGGGACGCGGGAAAGCTGTTCTGAGGGAGCTGACGAACCAGCTTCCGGTTTTGCTCTCAGAAGGAGTTGCTCATAAAGAGGAGCAACAACTTTCATTGCAGGCGAGTGGTAGGGCTTTCCAGTTTTTAGTTCCTTCACGAAAATCTTAGAGGCCTCAAGCTGGGATTTAATTTTCTCAGTTGAACTCTCCGAGCCGCTGAGAGTAACGCTCTCGGGGGAGTTCTCGCATGCAATAACAACATCTGTGTCATGGATATAAGGCTCGACCTTGTCCATACCAGCTCCAACAGCAAGCATTGCGCCTGCAGGGCCTTTTTGTGCAACTGCCTGGCCACGATAGAAAGAGATCACAAAAGCTTCTCGGGCTGATAGCATACCTGCAGCATATGCTGCAGCAATCTCCCCAGAGGAATGCCCCACGACAGCAGATGGAGTGATTCCCCACTTCCTTAGCTGATCAACTATGGCGATCTGGAATGCTGTACATACTGGCTGTGCAATATTCGGCTCGGCAACATAGTCCGAGTCGATGTTTCCGAGTAAGACCTCCTCTATGGTCCATCTTACCAGCGGCTGTAATTCTCTCAAATACCGATCCAGTGATCTGATGGCTTTGTTAAACGTGGGTAGAGTATGCATAGCATCTCTTCCCATGCCAACCCACTGGGCACCCTGCCCCGTGAAGACGAAGGCAACCGGACCAGGAGAATCTACGACTCCGAACTCCATGCTTTGCTTGCTGAAGTTCTGTGTTTCTTGATCTTGAAGAGCAATAGTGAACGCTCTATGGGTAAAGTGTGTTCGACAGCAATTTAGTGTGTAGGCCACATCTTGAAGATGATGATTGTCGACAATACAAGCGTGCGCCTCGATATTCTTCTCTAGTGTAGCTCGATCGTGTGCTGTGAGACATACCAACGCCTTGCTAGGACTTGAGATCCCAGGTCCTGTTTTAGCCCTCGTCTGCTTATGGTCGGGCTGCGCGGCCTCCAGTATCAGATGGCCGTTAGTGCCACCATATCCGAAGGACGAGATCCCAACCCGCCGGGTAAGGGGGCTCTCAGGCCACAATATCGTATCCCGATTTACTTTAACATTCCATTCTTCCTCCTTCACTAGTGATTGTTAGTGTTGACTGTTCCCACCTTACTGTCAGCGAATGGTGTACGAACGAGCCGGGTTGAGTGTCTTGAGTCCCGCTACTCCGGGGATGACACCAGATTCCAATATCAGAGCCGCCTTGATCACAGCAAATATACCACTGGCAGCTTCACTATGGCCAATGTTGGCTTTTATCTTGTTGGGATAGATGATCTTAGCCACTCGGTATACTTCAGAACATGTGCGAAGAAGACTTACTGCTCCCAGCAACAGAGGCTGCTCGCGACTCCGTCTTTCGTTCATCCCGTTAGAGATGGCTTTGACTTCTATGGGATCGCCAACTGGCGTGCCAGTCCCTAAGACGTTTTCAGCAGCCTTCGCGTCTAGCAGTTCACTAAGCGTGCTTACCGTGGCACTCGACATAAAGTGTATCTGTTGGGTCCAAGCCGGCCCTTTTGTAAGCAGCACGCAGGACTCTTTCCTGTCCCTCTAGACTTGGATGGGTAATCCCCTGGTTCTTCACCTTTCCGTTTCTATATTGGTCAGTTACTTATCCAGCGCTTTGAGGTCCTGCAAACTCTCACGTATTGAGCGCTGAGCCCCGGATAACAGCACGAATTGGATTACCATCGCGTACCGCATCACTGAGCCTACGTAGATATATGGCGCCAGCTCCTTCGGCACGGCCATACCCGTCTGCTGCTGCATCAAAGGTGTGACAGGTGGACGTTGGCGATAATATCCCCATCTTAGCGGTATTCATGTGTTGGTCTACTGCAATGATTAGATTCACGCCTCCCGCGATTGCGCCGTCGCATTCGCCTGTCTGAAGAGCCAGGCATGCTTGGTGGATGGCAGTCATAGACGAAGAACATGCGCTATTTATCACGGCGCTAGAGCTCTCTGTCAGGTTTCCCTCAATCTGGACTCGTAGTATAGTCGTTACTCACCTCGGCCCGCATAGATCAAATATGTTACAGACTCTCGCGCTAAGAATGCCAGGATCAGTTCCTGTCGCAGCATATTCGTGGCGGAAGTCCGGTTCGCGATGGAGCATCTGTTGGTAATCTGAGGTGAAGGATCCCACAAACACCCCAATATTCTTTCCGGCAACATCTTCTAGTCTCAAGCCAGCGTTTTCGAGGCATTCATGCGTAACTTCGAGTATACGCCGTTGCTGCGGATCCAACCACATGGCCTCAATCGGCGTTATGCCAAAAAAGCTAGGATCAAAGTCTTGCGGACTGCCGTCAAGGAAGTAACCGCCACGAACATTGAAACTACCGGGTCTGTTCTGGTTTCTGTGGTAGAAGGCATCGATGTTGAAGCGACTCTCGGGCACAGTTGGTGTCTGGACGGATGTCTTGTTGACCAGGGCGTCCCAAAGTGCGGAAGGGGACGTAATAGAACCAGGAAGATGACAGGCTTTGCACTGATCAGTACACGAAATGTAGCGCCTGAGTGCATATTCATACTCACCCATTCCTACAATGGCAATTGGCTCAAGGGGAACATGGCCCGCACGGCTGCCATTTGCAGTAGAGGCGCCCATAACTAAAATTGTGATAGAACCTGCTGAATTAGTACGATTATGTCGGGCGTTGTAGATATCGAGATAGGCTTCGCGGTCTGGTTCTCCAGCAGTCAGAGTTTCTGAGAAACCGGGATGAGAAACTTATATCCTTCTATGTGAGTCCCGCTCCGCCATCACTCGTCTCACGCAGGTACTACTTTGTACTGTGCAGCGCACAACTCATGCTTTATTTTAATGTCTTCAGTAGTGTCCCTTGCTGGGGAGGGTCCAACTCTGAGTTCAGTGCACATCATCCACATTCCGCACCTTGCCGGCTCAGTGCCAACATTCCTCTCTCTGAATGATCGGATGGACGTCATGTGTTCAATGAAATCGATAGCTCTACATGACTCAGTCCACCGGTAAAAGCAAACTCATAGCTTGACTTTATTGACTAAGTGGTTGCACAAGGGAACAGAAGAGGTACAGATTCTCGACCGTCAGCGTCCTTTCGCAGTACATTAGAATTGCGTAGACGTCTATCCCTTGGCAATCCCGATGGTCACAGTACCACTGTGAATTAGTTAATTGTGTTCTGAACATCGCGGCGTATGCAAGAGAGGAATAGGGCGCTCTCCTAGTTTTGCCACCGTATGAGATATTGAGGCGCGACATAATCCGACTGGTAGGTGTCATTTTCCGGTGTAAACTCACGGGCTTAATGTTCCTTGATTAAGTGGCAGGTTCATCGAATAATGTTGGCGAATGAGGCTCATGCCTACCTGGACTCGTAATACTCCTTGCATTCTTCATGCGCATGGTCTCTTTGGGCAGTGGAGATCCACATGGTAGCTACCATTTCGAGGTGGATCCCCACATTGAGGTTGCGAAAAACAGGTGCTCGCTGATATGAATAGTCTTAGAACTTTCTAGGCCTCACACAGGAAAAGGTCATGGGTGAGGCTGGTACGGAGCATGGTCAGATGCAAAGTGGTCCCAACAGAGTGAGCGATGACCAAATAACCCATCATTGCCGAGAACATAGCACAGAATGAAGATGCACCAGAACCCTTTTCGAGCTGTACACATATCATGAAGTCGAAGCTTTCAGTAATAAGGCGCTATTATGGATGCTTTGTTGTGCTGGTGAGGTTTACTGTGCCTGATAGGTCCCTGCTTATTGACAATAAAGTCAGCACGGATAGCATAACTAAATCGCGGCAGCGAACTAGAGATTGATAATATCGGGATTGAATATGTTGATTTGTTGGCTTGTTTCTTCAGACAATGGTCACCTGACTTTTCGTCTATTTGCATTCTTTCCAGCCAACTTTCCCATTATTTTTGCACCCCTTCCGGCTCAAACTCTCGGCCCCTTGTTTCCATCAATAACTACTATGAGACATAAGCACAATGATATGTCCAAGCTGAGATCCATGCACTAGTCAATACGAAGCCACCAGAAAAAGTTAAAATCTGACGGCCAGCACCCTTGCAATCATCAGTCCACTACCCTTTATTGACTACCTATACGCCCATCACCTTCTCCATCCGCATACTTGGTACATGTACTTGACGCCAAAACTTTGCTTATCTGCAGAAAGACGCACGATACACACCAGAACCTTGTTAGATCCGGTCAGTCTTGGATCTTCGTCATGTATCCACCGGATATATTCCAACATTCCGCGTCTCAAACCTGCTATGTGCCTTATGTTGTTACACATGGAACACCACACACGATTTGACGTCTCACTTAGCTGCTGCAGAAGCTTAAACTGATGCCCACAAACTACTCCCACGTGGGATATCTATACCTACTACAGGCATGCTGGTTCAATGATCATCCGTGTGACATCACATTGAAGCCCAGTCCGATTGGTGAACCATAGATGGATGATGGCGAGCAAAAGAGTACTCTCACTGTCCTTCGAGTCAGATACGAACTAAACTGCTACAAATGTACCTAAACACTTGTACCCCGGTTAGCCGGATCAAGTCCTAGCAACATGACTATCCATTCGGTCTTCTCTTCGAAAATTTATACAAAGCATGCATATCCGGACTACAGCCCACCTCTTGGGCACAGGACTATAGAATCTATAGATATCAGCAATTCCAGCCAATATACACATTGATATGCTATACTTGTCAACAGACTTGCCTACTAAGATGATCATTGAGTATGCGGCTATTGCTCATCCATATCAGCCAGAAGAAGTAGTAATAAGAAGGCCCTCATGATCTCATATTCAGAGCACACATCTACGGAACTGGTTCCCCGATATTGCAACTTGCAGTGGGAATTGAAATTGGTCAAAAACGACAATAACAAAATCAGTCCTATCAAAGGTATAGTTACTCCAACCCTTCCTTCTAATCCCTCCTACTTATCGCGATTGCAGTATGCTAACCAAGTCCCTGCAAGAAGAAAATGAAATAAGCGCTCTCCATGACATTCAAACCATCCAAACAAGAACAACCCACCGTCAGGTACATCATTGAGCAGAAGAAGCATACTAAACCACTAGCATACCTCCAATACCAGACAGCACTTAACCCCGCCATGCCCCTCCACAGGAATACCGTAGAACTCCTCCCCCTGCACTACATTTTCCCGGACTCGGTAGATGTCCAGCAACCCCAGCCCGAGACGAGCAACCCTGACCACGACTCCGACCCCGAGCCGAAGTTGCATCAAATTCATCAAATCATCCACTGCCATTGCATGACAGGATCACTATTTCCCACTACACTAGTATATGCAGCATGCATGCATCAACGAATGAATTACTACGCAAAATCGTATAACAGTCCTAATCGAGAACGACGCCCGAAACTAATTCCCGAGAAGACCTGAATCCGATACTACTCAAGTGAAGTGACACCCGGGACGTTCCGAGAATAACCCCCCAGCCAAGCCCAAACCCGCCCGCATCGGGAACCGGAACGGGAATGTAAGTATCGATCCATCGCTCGGCTCGAAAGCAGCAGCAGCAGCCACCACCACCACCACCACCACTTAATTACCCAACGCTCGGGGATCTCGTACACGGGATGGGTGGTTGGATCGGAAGCTTCCGCTGAGATACTCAGGTTATCTCATTGGATGAGGACCCGAGATTACTACCCTCAATTCCTAACTTCTCATTTGAGGGTTTCAGATGAAATGACAGCAGGAAAATTGAGTTTCAAAGTCCGACCGCACGCGGCGACAATGTCGTCACGACTCGGTACCAGAGTTTTTCGAGAATGGGATAAGAGGTAGAACGGTTCAAATGGTTAAGTTTTTACTTTTACTTTACTACTCGTGACGAAGTTTATTGGAAGTTACTTGATTTTACTGAGAACGGTTATTGGGTGGGTGGGAAAGAAACCGGCTGCAACATTGCAGGGTTGTAGTAGATTTCCATGTAACCAAAAGCAAAAAGCAAAAAGTCTAAAAGTAACCTGAACCTATCCAATCCATCTAACCAGCCCAGTGGAAGAGACATCATTGGTATGTGAAATGTGTATGTGAACATGACAGTGGGAGAAAAATGAAAAACCCAGTCTAAGAGTCCAAAAAGGAAACAAACAATAAAACCAAAACAAAATCAGTCGACTCGCTGATGGCGATTTTTTGTGGCCCAGGAGCGACGATGGATATCAGTAGTCCAAATCCGTAAGCCGTAACATGCAAAAGAAATGTCTAACATCGATCAAGATGTGAACAAAATGGATGAGAAAAAGTGGTGTGGAGAGAAAGAAAAAGCAAGCGCCGATGTTAATGCGTTTACTCGACAGCAGAGGCACCGTCGCCGTGGAGGACGGGGTTGACCTTGGGGTTCCACTTGAACTTGAAGTCCTGGCCGAGTTCCTTGCGGACGGCAGACTTGACGGCCTCCAGGACGTTGGGGAAGACACCGAAGTTGGCCGGGTTGTTGTCGTCGTTGTCCTTGCCCTGGAAGACACCGGTGCGCACCAGACAGGTGTTCCAGCCGTGCATGTTACCACCGCAGATGTCGGAGGCTGGGTTGTCACCGACCATGTAGATGTTCTCGGGCAGACGGTTCTCGTTGTGGATCTGCTCCATCCAGGCCTTCATGACCTCATCGGCGTAGGTGTAGGTGGCGCGCTCGGGCTTGCCGTAGACGACACGCTCCAGGTCGACACCGGTGAGGGCCTTGTACTGAGCCTCAATGGAGATACGGAAGAGACCCTGGGTCAGACGGGGGGGACCCTTGTGGTCGGTAGGGAAGACCAGGTCACCCTGGGAGAAGTAGACCGGAATGCGGGAAGCAACGGGGTCCTTGGCGCGGGTCAGCAGCTTTCCGTCCTCGGCCAGGAGGAGGTCCATGATGAGCTGCATGTCAGTGGCGTAGTCGCGAGAGTCGGCGAACACCAGGATAGCGTCGAACTTGATCTTGGAGAAGTCGCGGGGCTTGGCCTCGAGACGGTCCTCCTCGTGGAAGCAGCCCCAGGGGGAGATGGTGGGGTCCCAGGCGAGAACATCCTTGGGGTGGATGACGTTCTTGAAGCCGTAGTTCTCAGCGACCTTGCGGATCTTCTGCTTCTCACCACCGCAGACCAGGACGGTCTCGTAGTACTCGGCCAACGCCTGCATTGGGGTGTGAGACTGGATGAACTGGTCGGTGGAGATGGGGCAGCCAAGGACCTCGGTGAGCTGAGCGCAGCGCTCGTCCTCAGTCTTACCACCACCGTTGGTCAGGAGAATGTAAGGGATCTTGATGCCCAGCTCGTTGTCACCGTTGAGCATCGCGAGGGCCTCCTTGGCCTCCGGAATGGCCTCGTTACCGTGGGCCAGGACACCATCGATATCGAAAGCGAAGGCCATGTTCTTGGCGGCAGCGACCTTCTCCTTGGACATGTCCTGGACCTGAGAGGCCAGGATGTCGCGGGAAACATCCGCAGTGACCACCGAGGAAAGACGAGAGACACGGGGAGATCTGGGGATGGGCAGGGAAGTGCCAAAGGAGTTGCGGGAGCCACGACGGTCCCGGGAGGAGGGAGCAAAGCTCAGGTTGTGCATGTACTGAGCAGCATCGCTGATGGAGCTGCGAGTAGCGGGGATCTCGACAGTGTTGCCAGCATCGTTGGGGATGGGCAGAGAGCCAGCAGCGCTACCACGAGCATCGCGGGGGGAGCGGGCACCCGGAGCAGGGGCAGCGTCCACGGCGAAGTCAGCGTCGTCGAAGCGAGGCATGATGAATTGCTGAAGGAATTGAGGTTATAGAGGGGTTCAATTGACAAAAGACCAAAGGGTCAGGAGAGTTGAAAGAATATATAGGAGGGGGAGGGAGATAGATGCTGATAAGATAGGAAGGATATAAGGATGATATCACTCGGAGACGAAAACAGGAAGACAACCAATGGGCGTCACCTGCAAGCAATTGTCACCGGAGGAAGATGGAAGAGGAGGATGATGTGAAAGAGAAGGATGAAGATGGAAAAGAAAGAGAAGGGAGGCGAAGAGGATCATATATAACAAGCTTTCTTCAGCAGAACTACAGTGGCGGTAAGGTCCCAGCGGACGAGGGGAGAAGGCGTACCACCGACAAGGAGGGTGTTTATCCTGGGTGCAGCCATACGGAGACAGCGCTGCGGCCAAATCAGCCATCCGGATCCACCGACTGGGTTGGGAGGGGCGTATCATCATCCCTAGGAATTCTCGTCGTCATTATTTACGGGGAGATGATTAGCTGCGACATTTCGTAGTTTCGCTGGAGGAGAGCGGAGCCAACAATGGCAGCTTGATGGATGTAGTTTAGTCTAGTAAGTAACTGGTCTTACAATAAAAGAAAGTCCACTACTTCTTTTTCTGGGCAGGTTGTAGGTGGAGCTCTGTTGTAATCTTTCAAGACTGTGACCGCTGGACCCTGGCTGGTGGTAATTTATGACATGCTCAATACTACAACATACACACAGCACACACACACGCATAACAAATGCCAATGCCAATTACCATGCAGGTATTCAAGTTACTACTCCTTTCGGAACAGTTTCGGGGCGGGGAGTTCTGAGGCATTAAACAGACACACACATATACACACACACACCACAAAAAGTCCCACTCTTCACACCACTTTCACTGCCGGCGCAGCATCGTGGCTGCAGATGGCAGCCTGAACTTGCCCACCGCGGCGGGGCGGGAGGGCTACTGGGGAGTGGCATCACCGGATTCTGTGAGACATTATTGGCCAGGCTGGAAATTTGTTCGCAGGACGAACCACTCAAGAAGGAAGAAGCTGCTGCAAGTTGAGTGGACAGGAGGGGGTGCCAGCGGGACTGTGTGGGACAATGATTGGTCGCTACGGGCATTCCACTCACGAACGAGCCACAGATCGCTGGAGCCGATGACGATCGAGCGGGCGGCGGCGGGTCAAACGCTCGCGCCGTTTCGAAACCAATACATCCAATGATGTCATGGGCTCCATGTCTCTCGTTTTTTTGGTAATTGCAATTTCCCCGTCTGGTTTGGGAAATGAGAAATTCAAAATGAATTAATCGGATCCAGAAAAAAGTGGGCTTTCTTTCCTCAGGCCAAAAACCAAAACGTGTCCATGCCGTCATGGAAGCTTCACAGGGAAATTTGTCCAGGAGCTCCCCCAAGCTCGAGCTTGGAAAAGAAAATTATCGAACACCAAGGTCAAGCATGGATGGTTCTTTTCCAAGATAGCTTGGTGAAGTAAAAAGTACAAGTGTACATACCGCAAACTGAAAAGTCAAAGAAAATGACCCTGCATAATATAATTAGTAGCAGCAATAGCATCATACCCCTCATCAACACACCCCCCTCCACCCCACTTGCTTTTCTTGCCTGTAAAGTTGCCTTCTCAACGAGAGCCCCTCCTCGCCCATACCACCAAGTGACTTCTTCCCCTCCCACCCGCTATTTGTACTCATCCCTCGGCTTCTCTGCCTCTTCTTCCTCTTCAACTATACCAATTATACCCAATTCCTTCTTTTCCCCATCACTTCGATACCCTTACACAACTATGTCTTCCGGACAGTCCTTCACTCTTAGCAACGGCGTCAAGATCCCCGGCGTCGGTTTCGGTACCTTCGCCAACGAGGGTGCCACTGGTGAGACCTACAAGGCTGTCACCTGTGCTCTCAACACCGGATACCGTCACCTCGACTGTGCCTGGTACTACCTGAACGAGGGTGAGGTTGGTGATGCCGTCAAGGACTTCCTCGCTGCCAACCCCTCCGTCAAGCGTGAGGACATCTTCATCTGCACCAAGGTCTGGAACCACCTCCACCGCCCCGAGGACGTGCAGTGGTCCATTGAGAGCTCCCTCAAGAAGCTCAAGGTCGACTACATTGACCTCTTCCTCGTTCACTGGCCCATTGCTGCCGAGAAGGAGACTCAGGAGAAGCCCAAGATTGGCCCTGATGGAAAGGTATGTCTATTTTCCCCATAATTCTAGCATCACAGCAGAGCTGACTTGAAACTCCTGTAGTACGTGATCCTCAAGGATCTCACTGAGAACCCCGAGCCCACCTGGAGGGCCATGGAGAAGATCTACAAGGAGGGCAAGGCCAAGGCGATCGGTGTCTCCAACTGGACCATCGAGGGTCTGGAGAAGCTCCTCGAGTACGCCGAGGTCAAGCCTCACGTCAACCAGATCGAGATCCACCCCTTCCTGCCCAACCAGGAGCTCGTTGACTACTGCTTCAAGAACGACATCCTGCCCGAGGCCTACTCTCCCCTGGGCTCCCAGAACCAGGTCCCCACGACGGGTGAGAAGGTCAGCGAGAACCAGACGCTGAACGACATCGCCAAGAAGGGCGGCTACACTCTGGCGCAGGTGCTCATCGCCTGGGGTCTGCGTCGTGGCTACGTTGTGCTCCCCAAGAGCTCCAACCCCGCCCGTATCGAGTCCAACTTCAAGAGCATCCAGCTCACGGATGAGGAGTACGAGGCCGTCAACAAGGTGGCCGAGGGTCGTCACTTCCGCTTCGTCAACATGAAGGACACCTTTGGCTACGACGTGTGGCCCGAGGAGACCGCCAAGAACCTGTCCGCTTAGATGATGATAGAGAGCGATTTTTGATTTATGCAGGCCATAAACCAGTAAAATTGGACCGAATGAGCTTATGAGTGGATGGACGAATTGAGATGAAATGTGTATCTAGCAATCAAAGCAAAAACAGATTACACCACAATACAATACGTATAGAAAGCAATCCATGTATTTCACTTTCCATTCCCCTTTTTCCCCTAGAATACAAAATAGACAAGACAATTAGAAAAGGACCATCATAAAAAATAATAATTTAATAATAGGAAACCACCTATCCGCCAATCCCAGCCATGAAATTGTCGCTCCCACCAACAGTTCGCAAATGAAACCTCAACCCATTCATGCATGCATGCATGTGCTTGCCAGCCGAATCACATTTAGCAAAAGACTAAGTGGCTTGATGGAGACGGGAGAAACGGGACTAATCCTAGCTAGTAAGTTAGGTTACTTACTCGGAGTGTCGGAGGACTGTCCTCCATGCGTTGACGGGGCTAGTGCGCAATGACGTCAGAGCAATTCCTCCATTCCTCCCTTTTAACATCCAACAACACAAAAAATATCTAAGACACTTAACTACGAAACAATGAAGATAGCATCTAAAAGAGAAGTAAAAAATAATAATAAGAATATTATGTGGCAAAACTTTTCATAACGAGCAATCTAGAACCTTCATCGACCACATCACTACATATTTCTTTACATATATACTACGAATCCTTGTATTAATTCCTTTATTGCATGGCAAATGGCTTTTCATCATGATGTATGTATGTATCAAGCGTACCTGGAACCAAAACAATTAACACAAAGGAGATGGAGGGGGACCGGTACTCTAACCGAAGCAGGCTAGTCATGGGCTCGTGTCGGAGAATCTCGGAATATAGGTAGTACCCGGGTTCCTCCTCGGTGGGCAAATGTGGAAGAAGCCCTAAAACACCGAATGGCTGAATTGGGTAAGGGGGCTTGCGTGTTAGTAGTTAGTACTGTTTGGGGGAGTGGGGATGGGAGGGGGGGATTGGTTGTGATGGTGCCCTAGCCCTAGTACTTGGTATTCAATTATTTTATCTCGTTGATGTGATACTACGTACTACGGAGTAAGTAGTAGTACGTAGAGAGGGGTAAGAAACCCGGTATACTAGGATTTGTCCAGTCGGGATAGAGGATTGATGGAGTTATGGATACTGTGTACGGAGTACATTTATCGGGATTGAATGTGATACGGTGGATTGGATGGTATACCAGGAGTAGTACTATCTGTGTGTATGTTTTGAGGGATTATTTATGTTGGATGGATGGATGGATAATGGTCCACTTGGTATGTTTCTGAATACGGAGTATAACCATCCATCCATCTTTCTATCTTCGCTACCTACTTACTTATCTAGTCGGTAGAAAGATATCATTCGTCTAGAGAAAGTAGCAGCAATATTGACCATATACACCGGTTACGGTTGGTTGGTTGGTACTGGTGCCTGAATCCATCCAGGATCAATCAATCAATCACTCAATCAATCAATCAGACAAACATATCTCGAATTCGGATCCATCAACCCTGCCTCATACACCGAAGTACTTACTTACTAAACTACAAAATATCCAAGTACCTATCTTAGTTACTTACTCCATAATAAGTAGTCCGAGTCTACCCGCGATATGCGCCCTGAAATAGGGAACTTCAGCGAAAAGCTAATTGCATCCTGGGCTGAACTTTGTTCAGTTGTTAGTTTGTATTTGTTCTTTTTTGGCTTTGGATCTGCGTGGGATTTGCGCTTCGTTAGTTCTTAGTACTAGCTGTGTGGTATATGGAGTAGAAGTAGTAAAAGTAGACTGTGTACTTATTTAGTAGGTGGGATGGGGGATAAGATGTGGGGTAATTTTTTGAGATTTGAGGGATTAATGGGAGAGGAAGGGAGGAATTGGGGTACGTAGTTAGTGTGGTTTAATTGGAGATGTGGTGATTGAGGGGAGGTATTGTGTACTACTACTTTAGTTAATTTGTAGTAGTAGTGTGATGGGTGATCGTCGACATGTGTTTGCTGTGCCAAAGTTTATTGAACTTGCAGTTGATGATGATGATGATGGTAGTCAAAGCTCAGTATACATTTTGAATGAGGGTGTGGTTGTATATTCTCTCCGCATTAGTATGATCGCAACGGCTAAGGGAATAGATATTTTCCATTAGGTTAGGATGGAATACTATACCAAACCGACTAGTTTGAATACTAATTAAATTGCACGGGGTATCTACAACCATATATTGTAATTGAAGTCCATGCGGATATATCAGTATATATTCGTTACACTTTCCTATAGGTTACTAGTACTACTTAGACTAACTGGTAGTAAGTAATGACCCTCTACCTACAACCAGCCTCTAGTCCCTACTACTATTACGGAGTGTATCTAGTACGTAGTACTAGTAGTATCATCCTCAACAACAAAATATACATCAACACCACATCCAGAATAGTAACTCACCGGCACCACCCTCCATCAACTTCAATACTAATCAATTCCCACTGCATCAACCTGCAACCCAGCTACTAACTGTAAAGTATGTACAATGCAGGGCGGGAAACCTTATCCCCCAACGCAGACGTTATATCATCGTGCAGAGACATGCAGAAATCCATCATGTATGAGGAAATATAAGGTGTGTGTGGGTGTGAGTAGTCTATAGCTTGGATACATATCCATGGATTACCAGGGAACTGCACCTCCGCGGTGCATACTATCAGCTGTAAGGATGTGAGGGTGCTGTGCAGTGTAGATCTGAATGTGATGGTGGAACAGCAAGGCTGAGTGAGGTCCATGTGTTGCATTTCTTGCTTTTAGGTTGTATCAGAAATATTCAGGATAGTTACCTGCTACTGATACCTATCCTGCTATTGTATGAGAGTAAACAATTATACTCAGATTAACGTAGTAATTCGATTCTGCAACTGCCATCAGACCAAACGCCTTCCCTATCGGTTCCCCCGTATGTACACTATCCCGAAACGCCAAATAAACGAGAAAGCAAACGAGGATATCAACAATATCATATTCACGCGCGCGGACGCATCTTCCGAGGCACTGGCGTCGACCCAGCGTTGATCTTCAGCAGGTTGGTCTTCGCGCTACTGCTGCGGAGTGATGTCTTGATGCTGTCGCTTGCAGGCTTCGACGGCGTCGCCGGGACCCGCCTCGGCGACTTGGGGGTCAGCTTCTTGCGCTGCTCGGCCGTGCTCGCGCTGTTGTCGCTGGTGGGCGACGACGGAGAGGACAGGGAAACATTGCTGACGGCTGTTGCAGCCGTCGAGTCGGCTTTGGGTGCTCCGGGACCCAGCCGGCGCACGCGCCGCGTCCGAGGCGTTGCAGTAGCGGGTGCAGTAGCCGCTGCATCGGCGCGATCCTCCCCACCACTCTTCTGCGCCACTTGAGACCGCGTTGTTCGGCTACTGGCTGCCTTTCTTTTCTCGGGGCTTTTGCCCTTGCTTCCGCGGCTCGCAACGTCATGCTCGTCGCCCTTTGCTGCCTCTGATCCGTCGTCGAACTGCACCAGTTCCTCGTCGTTCCACGACACATGCTTCTTTGCCGTTTTGCGTGGTCGCTCCGAGACGTCTCCCGTCGTCTCGCTATCTGTGCAAGGGGCGGTGTCGGCCTTCTTCCCAGATGCTGGCGACTTGCGTGTGAGACCCTGCAAAACGAACTTCGGTGCCTGTGCATTGCCCTTATTCAGTCGCGTGTTTCGCCGCGTCGTAAGGGCCAGCTCCTGGGCCTCGGTGCGCTGCAAGAAGACGAATTCTGTGCCCTTGGCACGGCGGAGTGACAGTGTGTTGCGTACTGCAGCCGCAGCAGTAATGGTCGTCAACAGGTTGGAAGAGCGAACGGTGCGAGGTCGAGTGCTGCGTCGAGGACTAGATGGCTGCGGACTGGCCTCATCTTTCTCCTTTGTAGGCGACAGCTGAGGCTTCTGCGGTGAGGGCGAGTTGGTATCAAGGTCTTCCAACGCGCGGCGCGCCGGTGTGGGAGACGCAACAATAACCGGCACCTCCGGTTCAGGCTCAGTCTTGTCGGTCTCCTGCTCCTGCTCCTGCTCCTGAGCGACCATAGCGGCTTTGGCCTCGCGCTTAGCTTTGGCCTTGGACAAGAAGTTGTTGAGCAACTCAGTATCTTCTCCATCTAATGAGCTTCGGAGTGCCGACCGAACGAGCGTTGACTCCTGCGCACTCGTTAATTCCTGCACGGGTGCAGCGACCGTAGCCGCGGCCGGTTCGTCTAGAGTTTCTACGTCGACAGGCACAGTCGGCTCTTCGTCGGTGTGCTCTTCACCGATCATCGTAGAAACCGTGTCTTCATCATGGCCATCATCCTGCGGAGTCGTAGGTTCGTCTTCAATTGCGTCGGACAGATGCACAGTCGGCTGTTCGACGTCCTCGCGGGTTCTTAAGTCTGGAGTGCCGAACACCATGCCACCAACCACTAGCGGCGACAGGCCATGTAGCGAGCGGCTATAGGCTGCGTCGGACGCCAATTTAGTGGGGGTTTCCGGAATCAGACTGGGGGATTCGTCCATATTGGCAGGGTTCTCCGCGAGCTCTTCCTCCAACGTCGACGTGGGCACTTCCTGGTCGTCCTTCACATCGTCACACGACTCTTCTGGTTGTAGGCTGTCGTTTTCAACCGGCTCATCGGGGATGTCGACAAAGTCACTGTAGATTAGGGGAAGTTTGCCTGGGGTCGTTAGTCCATCCAACTGGATAATCTCTTAAAGCACCAGGAGGATAAACTTACGTCGTCGTCCATTAACCTCGGACTCCCACTGTGTTTCCAAGAACGAGCGCCCGCGCACACTATCCTCCAAGGCGTCCGCTTCCAGAGCGAAACACCTGCGCTTGACACCGCGGCGGAGGCCGGGGTTCCGCGACGTGTTGATCTCCAAATGTAGGTCGTCGTCGACGGTATGACGCTCTGCCGCAATCAATTGCTGCAGAGCTTTCATGCTGTTGAACGAAGTGCGAAAGCGCTTCCAGACCTTACGCGACTTGCCGCGGGCGCGGAATGCGGTTGATGGTTTGCGTTCCCAGGGACGGGGGGCGGCTCTGGTAGCTTTGACAGGGGTAAATCTGAATCGGTCCTCCTGAGAGAAGGTGGCTCGTAGATGTGGAGGGCTGCAAAGAGAGTAAGATGTTGGTGAGGGGAAAACAAGGCGTCGATCACGGCTGAATGATGTTTATCGGAGAACTGTCGATGGTGGGAGAAAAGGGGGGCCGCAACATGGCGGTGGCGCAACAGATCTCCCACATTGAGTTCCCAACAGACAGCGGACATTTAGGCCGTCCAAAGAGAAGGATGGACTCACCATGCCTGGAATGTGTCGGAAGGACAGACGAAGTCCGCCATCTTCATGGTGAATCCGCGGCGGAATGTGTGTTTCGGCGCTGACGTCAAGCGAGATCGGGAAGGAGGGACTTGAAGCCGGTAGATGGTGAATTTGTAGAATATAACGAGATAATTTACCGGGCTTCGCTGAGATAAAAGGATGATACCGAATAGCGATACTGAGTAACACGGGAATATCCCAACGCGAGCAGGATGATGGAGGAGAGTGAAGTGGATTTGCTGTTGTTGGTCCGGCCGCCGTTTGTTCCCGTTGCCCTGCCAACCATCAGAGTTGTAGGGAGGATTACCCTCATCTCCGCTATCTGCAGACTACCATCATCTTATTTGAGCCTTCGGAACACTGATGATTGGCTAGCATATTAGACTCCATACACTTGATTCTACTTAATGATACTTAGCTCAGCTACCCATCTAACTATCGAAGTCTAATATATCCAGGGCAGGATTCTCCACCGGACTGCCCGCCGATACTTCTCCCAGTCTTCGCCATACTTTGCCGCACACATAGCATCGTCTCTACGTTCCCGGTGCATCAACAAGATTGCAAAGTACAGCACGTAGAAGTAGGTGAAGATTATTCCCCAGCCTTGGGCTTCGCCCTGGACGACCTTGCGCCCGTCTATCATCTGGAAGCTCTGAGAGGCCGCCACAATGCTCCCTGCCGGGTAGATGAGATACCCTGCCATGCCCGTGGGCAAACTGAAGGGCAATGCTTGGAGCCAATCCCCAAAGTAGTTGATGTGACGTGACATTCCCCACCATCCAGCTGTGAGTAGCCTAGTTCCCCGCTGGGTTTGAATGTACGACAGGCCTGCCACACTCGGATCGTTGGGGTGCGTGCGGAACATGTGCTTCTGGTCGTTGGCGGCCCGGAAAATATACAGTCCCAGGGCAAAGACGGCGCTCACAACTGCGATGTTCAACCACCCCAGCTGCAGCGGATAGACGGACAAATAACGACATTGTGTTGAGTATAAAAAGGGCACCCAGACGAGATCGCCAAAGGAGAGCATAAACCCCATGCCATCAGTGGTGATATCCATCATAGTCAGAAGCCCTAACTCATTATAATGGCTATTGAGCACGTAGAACCCCTGAAAGAAGGTGATCAATAGAATGCTGTCGGAGACATAGCCAAAATTGCGATATTGTTTGGCGACAAAGGCAAGATCAAGCAGTATCCAACCAGTCAAGCCAGGATACATCTCGCACCAAGTCTTAATGTCAATCTCCCCAAAGAGTGGAAGAGTGACGCGGGGGTTCAACTCCCGGCCAATGTAGAAATCGTAGATGATATTGTCTGTCCTCCCACCGGCCGCTAGTTCGCGAAGATCTTTATTGGGATACTTGGTGTCCACGCTGAAGCTGCTGATATAGAGGTAGGTGGCGAGGGCAAATGATACCAACACATTGGCCGTCAAGATTTGCACATAGTGATCCACGATATACGTCCACACGGGAAATTCGGCACCTTGCAAGTATGTGCCAATTGCGCAAGCAGCGAAAACGGCAACACTGGTCGAGAATGCTGTCAAGGATTGTCAGCGCAGTTCAACCGAAGCACATGACAGCCTGGGACATGGATGTATATAATTACCATTCATGCGGTACTCGAGGGGACGACCGTGATGGACCAGTTTAGTGCCATGAACCTTCTGCGCCGGGAGAAGTCTCCAGAGGAGTAAAACAAAGACATAGTATGCCAGCACTGCAACGGTCACTTTCCAGTCGAAGAGTGCCCGTATTCCACCTTCAGGCCACCCGGTCTCCGCGGCCCACTTCTCCCAAGTGAAAGTGCGAGGGCTCAACAGCGAAGGTACAGGACAGCCCGATACATCGTTACAGCCGAAGGCAAAGAAAGTCAAGAGTAGAGGTAGGCCAATGGTGATGGCAGTGGCTCCTAGGCTACCGGTAATTCGTCAATATATCAAGGCCCAAAGGTCCGGGTTAGGCTTGTGCTTACGGTCCACCAAACTCGTATTCAACCACCGTAGAGGAAGCCATCACAACAAGTAATATATCGCCAGAAAGGCGTAACTGGCTGCTAAACAAACCAATGTGGTCGAATATATTATTTCTAATCTAAAGACCTGAAGGTCTCTTTTGAGTCTTTATAGTCTCACAGAGTACAGGGCAGGCGACAACTTAATTCCCTTTTGGGACTAGCGGCACCGGGTCGGGAACGCAGCGAGCAGCGTGATATCATCTTGGCAACCGGCAGTCCATCCATCTTCCGGCCGATTACAGAAAGAATTCAGACAAGTGGTCCACAACCATGGCGGAGTATTGGAAATCAGCGGTAGGCAGAAGCTTTCCCATCTCCCGTGTCTCAGCACTGACTTCGACATAGCCCAAGTTTTGGTGCAAGCAATGCAAGATCTTCATTCGCGATACCGCCTTCGAAAAGTCTCAACATGAGGCTACGGCCAAACATCAGGGTAATCTGAAGCGCTTCCTTCGCGACATCCATCGGAACAATGAACAACAACAGCGCGAAGCGCAAAGAGCGAAGAATGAGGTTGAGCGACTGCGCCAGACCGTGGCCGGACCTGCGGGTGGGAAAGACAGGGATGCTGCGCCCTGGAAACGTGCGCCCGCACCGGCGCCCAAACCTCAGGAGCGACCTGTTTCTTTGGAAGAAAGAAAACGACAAATGGCACAGCTAGCAGAGATGGGTATTGCTATTCCGGAAGAATACCGCAGTGAGATGGCTTTGGCCGGAGAGTGGCAAACGCTGTCGGAGAAAGTTGTACAACCTTCGGAGGAATCAAAGGCCAGCCAGTCATTAGGGGTACGCAAACGAAAGCATGAAGAGCGTGACGAGGAGGAGGAAGAGGCAAAACAAGAAGCTGAACGATTCGTCAGTAAGGGCTGGGGCTCCCGGACCCGAGTCTATCCCGGCGCCCAAGAGGACACTGATCTTGATGCTCTTTTGGAGTCTACGAAAGATATCAAAAAGGGTAAACCTTCAACTCCTGCTGAGTCGGCGCCGGAGCCGGAGCCTGAGAATGCACCGGAAACCGTTAAGGGCCAGTTCATGCCGGTCAAGTCAGAAGGAGATGCAGCAGCTCCTGAGACTGGTGAGCCGTCTCAGGTCAAGCAGGAGAGTGAGACTGCCCCCTCGGCTCCTGCGACAAAAGAGGAGCCGAAAGACGCTCCAGCTGTGGGGGTCGTTTTCAAGAAGCGCAAGGCCAAGGTCATGAGAAAGTAACGGCACCCATCACGGCCAGCATTTTACGGAAATACGTGGAGCTGTTACGTGTTGGCGGTTCTCATCATTACTCCAGTGCAATATTGACGATGCATTACCGTCAGCGAAATCAAACTTGTTGATCGCATCTGCCAGGCGGCTGGGGTCTAGCAAACATTGCTGAAGAAGGACGGATGGTAATGCGATTACGATGACAAGTCTTGATCGTGTTTAAGAAATCCGAAGCCGAGCGGCATACAGATGACTTAATCTGGCATTTACAGAATTACAAATGTGGAACCTGAAGCTGAATATCAAGAACGGCTGGTCCGAGTTGTGCACAGACCGGTGGCAGATGCTGGACTGCTTCCATGGGGATACATGCAGCCATCAACCAAGCTGGTCTACAAGAATGATATGATATCGACATCATACAAAGAGAGACGACACTGTCAGATAGACACAAGTAGAACGGCGGGTTCATATACCATAGGGAATGTATTCAGAGACCAGCTGAGGTTTAGCCAAGGCCTCTAGCCGGGATGATGAAGAAGATAGTTGAGACTATAAGGTCATATAGTGTTCCATTAATATTATCAATTAGTATAATCTCACACAGCTTCTAAATTGAATCTAAATGAGTGTTGTTGTTAATAGATGCGTGCAGCCATTCATGGTTGTCGGGTTGAGTTGCCACTGGCTGGTTCCTTTTTTTTTTTCTCTGCCGATGGAAATTTGGCGCAAAACTGGCAAGCGTTGGCAAAAGTCCGGGGGAGAAAAGAGAGTCTTCAAGCGGGCCCGAAGCTCTTCTCTCTTTCTTTCTCTTTTGCGGGCGCAACAACAATTTTAATCGCAATCCCAGCTCCAACCCCCACCCCTAATGCGGAGACTGTCTGGTGCCGAATTGCGTGTTTTGGTGCTATAGTCATTCGGCTCGCTTCTTTTCGCTTATCTGGCCCAGTGCATGGTAAGTTAACGAGAGCTTCTTTCCCATTTGCCTGCCCCGATCTGCCTGCCTCCCGAAACGCGCCCGCCCAACTCCGCTGCCTTCCCTTCTCCAGTCGGGGATTTGGCCGCTCGCACAAGAGTCGACGCTCGCAGAAAAGAAAAGAAGGTCCGGGATGGCCGTTGGATGTTACGAGATGGCAAATGTCTGTGGTGGTTGCGCCGTTGAAGTGCCACGTTTGGGCGACATGGAGGGAATTCCCTGACGGTCGCATTCAACGTCACCTGGGTTCCGATACCAGCACTGCCATCGGATCTGCAAATTTCGAGAAAGACCATCCTGCAGACTGCTCCGTTGAGTTTCTGGCCATCGACTCGAGAGTCGTGGCCTATGAAAGTCCTCCGATGCGCGGTCAAGCCGTGGAGCATCAACAGCAGCTCACTCCGTCGCGACCATGCGCAAACCCAGACGCCGGAACCCGTTGACTGTCCCTTACATTCACAGCCAGATACCACTTCGGGCGGCAGTTGCGGTGCTTTTGAGGGTGCATGGAATTTCTGGGCCGAGGTCTGGTCACTAACACGCCTGTCTTCCAGACTAGAGAAAATAGCACCTCGCGATCGTTGCACCCCTGCAAGTTCTTTCAGCCGCAGAGTTCTACGTGTCCTCGACAAGTCCTCATCTCACTGTTGTTTGATCCTATTCAACATTCATTTATCCAGTGTTCTCGAGCTCCCAAGTGAATCTACTTCACCAGTGAGATGGCCGACACTACAGAGCCGACGAACACGTCGGGCGAGCCGCCTAACCCGGCTCCTGAATCGACCGAATCACCACCTGTTGAGACCACGCAGTCGACAACGACAGACCATTCCCTTCCACCGATAGACACATCTCTGCCTCCGATCGATTCTACTATGCCGGCAATGGACGATCACCTACCAAACCTTGATCATTCGCTGCCCCCGATCGATGCGACAATACCCTCCTTGCCGCCCATTGACACCTCGCTGCCACCACTGGACACTACACTGCCGGCTGCAGATGGGCATTTGCCGGGCGGAGAGCCTGACTTTTCCTTTCCTGACACCAAGTCGTTGATCAACGAAGGTCATGTGTCGGAGCCTACGCATTCAGGGCCAGGAACATCCAGCTTTGATTTTACCGAGCAATCCGGACAGTCATCTACGCCTGCTCCTACGTATCAGTCTCCTGTGAATGGCACCCCGCTGCAACAGCCAGCCCAGCAACAGTCGCAACAACTGCAGCAACAACATCAGCAGCAGCCAGGGCAGCAGCAGCAGACGACGCCGGGTCACACCCCCCAACCGCAGCAGCCATATCATCAGCAATATGCGCAGCCACCGCAGCATTCACATTCACCCTCCCATCAGTCTACGCCTGCGCCACAACATACACCGTCGCAGCAGCCGCAGCAATATACGCCGGGGCAGCCACAGCCGCATCAGTATCAGCAGCAGCAACAACAGCCGCAACAAGGATCGGACATGTACCACAACCATCAGAGCCATTCCCCCTCAATGAATGCGCCTTCGATGCAGCCCATGGATCATCATGCCATTTCGGGACAATCGTCGCAGATCCCCCAGGCACCTATTGGCTCACCGATGCCATCCAATATGCCTCCGATGCCGTCAGTGGGCCAGTACATGACCGGATACCCTACCAATGTCGGGCAGATGGGCATGAATGCAAACGCGCAGATGCGCTATCAGCTACCGGGAGATCCCAACAAGCTGTTGTCGGGCGGACGGCATAAGAAGGAGGTGAAACGTCGGACGAAGACGGGGTGTCTCACCTGTCGTAAGCGAAGAATCAAGGTACGTACCAGCAAAATATGACAGAAGAAAATTCGACCCCTCAGCATTAATTGCGACGGGATTGGAGGGAGAGAAAAGGGCGATGCAGTTGAGTTTAGAAAGGCACAGAGAGGCGGGGAGAGGAAGGAATGGCGGAGGGGGCGGGCCTTTCGCTTGTGCAGCAGCAACCCCGCCGGTCGCTTGTTGTTGTTTGCGCCCACTCGCCTATCGCTGTGCTCCCCGCCTGCCTGCGCTGCCTTTTTTCGCTGCCATCCCTCAACCTCCTTCCTCGTGCTTATTCTTTTGTTTTATTACTTCCCAAGCTCTAGCAGACCACTCTCTGTCGGCTGAGTTTTGCCACTGACCGTTATTTTTAGTGTGACGAAGGGCATCCTGTCTGCCGCAACTGTGTCAAGAGCAAGCGTGAATGCTTAGGTTACGACCCCGTGTTTAAGCAGCAACCCACGCCTTCCGCCATTCAGCCTGCTCCCAATCCTCATCCTTCCTTGGTGGTCAATCCTCAGGATCCCTCCACTTCATATCCCGCTGCGCCTCCGGGTTACATGCCAGCTGCCTCCCAACCGTTTGCCCCGTCTGAGTCGCCTGCCCGGCCGAGTGAACGCTACGATTACGGCACTGCAATTGACCCATCGCTGGACGTGAACAACAATAACAACATGGCCAGCATTCAGCATGCCGTGGAAGGAGGTCTGCAGCCGACGGTCAATCCCGCCATGACAAGCACCAGCGCTACCCCGTCAGAGCCGACCAACGTCAGATGTAAGCTTCATCCAAGAGTGTTTTGCGGTACGTCTGTTAACTGTGAGCAGTAAAACAAGTTCAGATCAGCGACCTTCTCGCACTACGCGGCATTCCACCCCCTCCCCCTCACCCGATTACGTCCCTCCCGCCAAACCGTCTGGAAGAAATTCAGGCGGTCTTCCTGGCGACATACGCCCCCGCCATTGACAAGTTCTTCGAGACTCGGTGGTTCCAGGAGAAGGCATTGACACATCTTTTGGCCAACGCGCAGCTCATGGCTGAGTATTCTGCGTTGATCGATGCGTTCAATGATCCCAACCTGGGCGATCCCAATGTGCTGGCGCGGTTGGAGAGCTTCGAAGCGTCGGTCGTCTGGAGCTCCATGACTTTGTGTCGCCATGTGATGAATGTCTCTACGGGAACTCAACCAGAATTCGATCTTTTGGCCGCTGCCAAGCGGTTGGATGTCATTGAGTCGATGATCACGGGAGAACACCTGGACTCGAACCCGCTGGCGCAGTTTCCAACCCGGGAGCCAGCAGCCAACCCTCCTTTGTTGCCCGATCAGCTGACGCAGCGGTCGTTGGATTTCTGGAGCTCGATCGGACACTTCTTGACGCTGCACGATAACGAAGCGAGCTCGGCCAAGGAGATCGATGACACGCTCGCACGGTGCCGTACCTTGCTGGATACCTTCGAGAACCGTGACGTGATCTACTCGATTGCCATTGCCCGGCATCTGGGCCAGCGGTGGGCAGACTTCCCGCGCAGCTTCCCGCAACCAATTACGACGAACGAGAAGGACGCGGGGGCGAAGCTGTACGTGGCGCAGAAGTTCCTGGAGCAGGAAGCGGGCGGCAAAGGCACCACCCAGGTGATCAAGCGCATATGCGGCATGGTGGTTCGGTCCTGGATTGTCTCGCGGGAGTAGATCCGAGCCGGCTGGCATGCACTGACGATATCTATTTGCGACCTGTAATATGAAAAAGCGATTGGCGACTACCTTTGATGATGTTTAACTAGATTTTCCTTTCTCTTTACTTTGCTTTGCTCATTCATTGTTGCCAGCTTATTGTTCACATTTCCCCCAACTCTGGCCCAGATTGGATGGAACCGGTTGGTGGGCCATGCTTCTCTCTCCCGGACTGCGGACATACGGGGAAGCCGTCGCATCACGACTCCGGAGTTGATTCGCTTCAGTTTCGCTGCAGCTGGATGGCAGTTATCATGGCGTTATTACGGCTGCATTGCTGATAAGGTGGTGGTTTACATTCTTGTCGATTATCTATCTATATCATGGCTCAATTCGCTTGCTTGAATGGGGATGCCCGGACAAGCCGCGAGACTTTTTTGCAGAAGAATGAATAATGAACATCTTGTATATATGTACCTGCGACTGGCACCCTCTATCGTAGTCTAGTGTATGTACTGTGTACAATATGGTATTCATAGATCCGCCTGCTCTGGAATGGGACTCTTCAACTTGCCCGTCTCCAGCGCCATGCGGACATTCTCAATCGCCCACTCCTCCATGCCAGTTTGCGTCTGTAGCCATAGCATTAGTACTCAGATAAATCACCATCATTACAATAGATAGTAAGGGAACACCCACCTCAACAGTCCAAG